TGAAGTGTACCTGGCGTATAAGACGACCCCCCACTTGGAGGCATATTTTTCAGGGCCAAAAAGTCGTCTTATACGCCGGCAAATACGGTAGTATAATAATTAGAAAACAAACTGAAGTCAGGCTTAATTCTACAAAAAAAAAAAAAAAAGTCTTCAGGAAGCATCTTAATTATAATCTCCTGTTGATGATGCCTTACAGGCTACTAATTAGGAGGCTGAGATTGCTCATCTCTAATAGTTCAATTTGCAAATATTTTTTTACATTCTAGAATCTTGTAATACAATGCATTATTTTCCATTAACATTGTTGCTAAACTTGTTTTCTAATATTTTTTCTTTATATATTTTAGTATTTTTTTAAAAAATAAATAGGTATTACTGGTAATTCTTTGATTTCAGTAAAAAGGCTATTTCAACTCTGCCACCAAAACACACCAGAATTAATGGATTGGATGGTGTAGGTGACCTTGAGAGTTTGGCAAGGGCATTTTAAGGATAGAGTTAGACTCCACAAAAAAGCTACAGGAGGATCTAAAGAAATTTGCATGGGGCCTCTGTCCTTGTGTCATACTTTGAATGGATAAAGGTTTCTCAAGTCCCAAAAGTCACCGATTTATCTTTTAGATTTTTATTTTGAGGAAGCCTTATTTTTTCTTCTTTGGAAGAGTTCAACTACTCACTTATATGAACAGTACTCCCTCAGGAGAAGGAATTTTTGCCTTGAAAAGATAATTCTGAGTCACCACTGCCTGGAGTACTTAATTTAACCGGTAGAGTATTTTTAAAGAAGATCGTCCTGATACCTTCATTTAGGAATTTTCCATACCTGCTGAATCCAGTGGTATAATCTTTCTACTGTAGCTGTTAATGCTGATTTTGTATTTTAAGTGGCATGTACTGTTGTTAATGCCATCTTTGTATTTGGTATGGAGTGAACTTTGTTATGTCCTGTGCGTCTGCCTCAATGTCCCTAATATTTTTCTGATGGTTTGTGCCTATAGATTATGCATTTTAGCACACACACGTATATGTAATGTCCTGAACTCCTGCCAGCAATGTAGGTCTTATCTTCAGGCTTGCAGACGCTTAATAAGCACACTGAGACGATCTACGAGGGCATTGCAAACTCCTTTAAGCAGTGACTTTGGATTTCAAAGTATTTTTGCTCCCAAGACCTACAGTAACATCTTTAACCCAGTACACAGCACACGTGTGTGTGACGGAACAAAAAATGTGAGTATGGAAATACTTATTCGACTATCCGAGATTTCCCCCGAAATTTCTTACTCTATTTCATATAAAAGAAAAACTTCACCCCTTCCAGGTAGAAACTAGTTAAACTGATTTTACGAACCACTAACTGGTCGTTAAAGGCTGATTGAAATCGCTCCTCTAGCAGCCTCCGCGGCTGCTGCTACTTCTGTCACAGCCCTTCGGCAACACCGCGGCAGCGGCCCGCGGAGAAGCCACTGAGCTGCACCAGCGCTTTGCACCTCGAGGCTGGAGCCAGCTTTCCTCCAGGGAAGCGGCGCCGCACTAACCTACAGCCCCGACTCGGTGGATGATGCAGGGCTCGCCCCAGTTCCCTGCCCTCCAGCTAGTCCCTCCCTCTTCTTCTTCGCTCCGCGTATTTAGTTTCGGCCCTGCGAAGTGGGCCGAGCGTCGAATGATCGATGCTCCCTCCACACCCCAAGAGCCGCCATTGTTGGGGGGGGGAGGAGAAACACTTGTAGCGGCTGCAGAGGCTCCGCGGGATGTTCATTGGCATTTGCGTCTCCTGCCAGCATCGTAGGACCGGGACAGAACAATCCCACGGGGCCTCTCCGGCTGCCTCTCCGGAATGAGGCCTCGGTTCCCGCGTGGGACGGCCCCGTTTCTCCTCCTAGAGTGAGTGCCCACGCCGGCGCGGCGCGCCCTCCGCTGTCAGTTACCCGGCGCGCTCCCGCTGGCGCGCGCAACTCCCCGCAAGCTCTCACCCCTCCCCCGCCCGACTTGGCGCTCGGCGCAGACTCGTTTGTTTGTTTCTGCAGGAGCCCAAGGAAAGGCCGAAGCTGAGACGATGCCTGGGAAGCTGAAGGTGAAAATCGTGGCCGGGCGCCATTTGCCAGTGATGGACCGAGCTAGTGACCTGACTGATGCCTTCGTGGAGGTTGGTGCAAGGTCCTGCTCCTCAAACAGGGAGCGCCAAGCCCTGTGAAGGATCCTACCCATCTCGGCCCCAGCCCGTTCCCCTTCCGACAGCCCTGAGTGCCTTGCTTGTCCAGCCCTCCCTCGAGGACTGACTCCCGAGACTTCAGCCCATGTGATGGGTGCACGGCTTGCAGGCGTCCGCCGCGCAGTGCGCGGCGCCGGTAGGCAGTTACTGCTCTGCATGTCGGGGTGACTGATGTCAGGACTCATTATAGGCCACCTGCCAGTCAGGAGATCCAAGGCGTGGCCGTGCGGCCGCCGAAAAACGCACACGCACACATACACACATACACACACCCTTCTTTTGGGGAGGGGTGGCTCTTCACTCTGAGTGATGGAGATGATGTTTAAAAATGTAGATACAGTCTGTTGTGGGCACTTGGAGACCTACAAGGCTAGGAGATCCACTCTTTAGCATAGTTATTTTCTGAATCATCAGTGTAAGTTCTAAAACACAACTGTAACTCTTTCTGCTCTTGTATGGACTGGTAGGCTGGTGAGCTATTTCTGGGTAATTTAGTGCCTTGGGGTAGGAAGTCAAGTGCCAAGGATTAAAATTGCAAAATTGCTTTTTAAATCTAATGATTAGTTTTAAACTTACGCCAATTAGCTCAAGCCTAGGGCCCTGCAAGTAATAACTCAGAGTATGAAAGAAACCAAATAAAAATTGTAATAAAAATTGAGATGATGAGCCAGAGCACTAGAACAAGAATCATTTGGGCTATTAATGCAGAGCTGATAGATACATGAATAATATACAGCCTGATTTCATCTCAATGCAAAATATTCTTTGTGTTCTATAAAGGTTCTCTAACCTAATAATGGCAGTTTTGCCCCCAAACCTTGCCATGGTAACTCTTAATCTCAACTTCATTTCCATTTAAGAAACAGTTAGTGAGTGTGTTCTTGGTCCAGATGTTAGGTAATGGGGATACACAGTTTACCAGAATAGAGTTTTTGCTCAGGTAGCTCAGAGACTGACCCCACACAGTTTAGGTTAATAACATGTATTGAGTCTTATTATTGCCAGGTACTAAGTACTTTTTAATTCTTAGTCCTCAAAACAGTCGTGCTGTTGTATTGTTATTACCCCATATTACAGTTGAGGTAACTGAGGCCTAGGAACAGTAAATAATTTGCCTAAGGTTGCTTCACCTTGGAAGTCCCCATAGCCTTGTTGCTTATTTTAATCACTGTGCTAATACTGCCTTTCCAGGCTAAATGATGAGTGTTGTAGAATTTGGAAACTTAATTCTGCCTCTGAAAGTTTAGGGAGGCTTCCTAAACTTCCAGATCACTGACATTTGATCTGGGCCTTGAGGGACACCCAGGATTTTACCTGGCAGAGGGAACATTAAAGCACAGGATAGACTGCATGGTATTTTTATGAAGCTTGGAATGTGGAGTAAAAGGGGATATGTGGATAGTGGAGGTCATGGGGATAAGGCTGGAAAGGTAGGCTTGGAACCAAGCCTCATTTTCTATCCTAAAGAAAATGTTCTTTATTCTATAAGCAGGGGGTTAACTAGGGGAGCTTTCTTTTTAAGCAGAAATGAAATAAGATCATGTTTGTATTAGGTTGTTTCTTTCTAGGATCACTTGAATGATGATGTTATTGATGGACTTGGCAGATGAGAGATGAGGCAAGGAGATTAATTAAGAAGATGGTAAAATTATCCAGGCACTATGTGCAGTGGTAATGGGAACAGGTTAAAGAGGAAAACTTTGAAGGACATTTCTTAGGTAAAATTGTCAGGCCTTGGTAACAAATGGTTTTTGCTGGTGCGGGGCGGGGAGGGGTGTTGGATTTAAGGATGACTCATTAATTCCTTCTTTCAACCAATAGCTGTCGAGTGTCCCTTATTTGCCAGGCCCTATGCTTGTCACTGGTCCAGCTGATGCATATATGGTGGAGAACACAATAGACTTGGTTCTTGTTTTTAAGGACCTTATATTTTGGTGGGAGAGACAGACATTAAAAAGTTAAAGGAATGATTAAATATATAATTACAAGTTGTGATGTGTGCCACGAAAGAAAACAGGAAGAGAATAATAGGAAACATCTACTTTAGTGAGTAATCAGGGGAGGCCCCTGAGGAAGTGTCAGTCAGGCGAAGACTTGCTGGATGAGATGGAGGTAGCTGCTCAGGGGGTGTAAGTGTGTGTGGAGGGGAGTTTGGAGCAAGAGAGGCTGGAGAAGAAGAGAGTCTCAACAGAGGGAAGATCCTGAAGTGACGTGCTTTGTTTCAGGAAGTAAAGGAAGATGTGTGTGGCTGGCATGTTACGAGTGAAGAGGAGAGTGTGTAAGATTCAGCTGGGGAGTTAGTCAAGGAGCCAATTTTGCAGGATCTTAGAGGCCATGATTAGGAGATTGGATTTTATTCTAAATTCAATGGGAAGCAGTTGTTAAGGTGAGCACTTTTGTTGTGGTCTGGGGGAATGGCTTGAAGAGGGGAAAAAGCTGAAGCATGCAACCAGTTAAGAGATTCCATGATAGTTCATGAAAGGGGGTAAGGGCTGGGGTGATTTTGGTAATGGAGAGAAGTGAATGGATTCCAGACATACTTTGAAGATAGACTGGAGAGGATTTGTTGGTAGATTGGAGTAGGGGACTGGGGAAAAGGAGACTAAAAGATGACTCCTAGCTTTCTGGAGTCATTGGGGTAGTCTTCTGAGTCTCCATGGGGTTGATAGAGATTGGTTGACTAGGTGGAGAACCATTTTCTATCTGGGCATGTTATATTTGAAGGGTCTTTGGATCTTCAATTGGAGTTGTCAAGGAGAAAGTTGGATTTGTGAGTATCGTGTTCAGAAGAGAGCTACGAGTTAAAAATGAGCTCACACAGGCGCGCTTCTCATCTCAGTGAGATCCAGTGTCCCCTTTATATAGCAGGTATTTTGAAATCCATTCTCTACTATTTTGGCATGATATTAATAGCTAGTATTATATAATCTATCCATGCTCACAATTTAAAAAGTCAAAAATGCTCTAACTGTAATATGGCAGAGAAATAAAAGTAGTTTTTTCATATGTATTTTATTTATTTATTTATTTATTTTAAGATTTTTATTGGGGAATTGGGGGATGGGAACAGCCCTGGGGAATTGGGGGAAGGGGAACAGACAAGTTGCTGTTGTTTTGTTCTTCAGTCTAGTTGTGGAGGACGTTGCTTCACTGGCCCAAGTTGGCACCATCATTGTGCTCTTCCTGGGCGAGGCCGATCAGTCCCCTGCTTCTGGATGGCCGCCCACAGGGGCTGCTGGCTGTTCACGCTGGCTGCTGGCTACACACGGTAGCCCATGGCAACCCACTGCAGCAGGGGCTGCAGCCTACACCGTCGCCTCGACTCACGGCAGCCCAGCTCCAGGTTGAGCTGTTGTTCAGCATCTTAGCTGTAGAGGGCAGTGTCACAGGCCCTCATATGTGGGATCTGAACCGGGGCCCTCTGGCATCCCAAGCCAGCTCTTAACCAACGCACCACTCGCCCGGCCCTCATATGTATTTTAATATGGAAGTACTTGTTCATGACCACATTAGAAGCCATGAAGTTATCAGATTGAGTCCATGAATATTTATTGAGCCATTGTATATATCAGATGGATATACTACAATGTACTGGGGATATAGCAATGAATAAAACAAATTGTTTTAGTCATGGAACTTACGTGGAAGTAGGGAGTTCATAAGGAAGATAAGCAAAAGATTAAATGTGCTGGATGGTGAGAAATGCCCCATGTAGAGAAAATAAAGCAGTAAAGCAGGATAAGTAAGGGAGTGCCTCACCTATGTGTAAAGTCACACAACTATGATTGTGCTCCTCACACACTGAGACAATTACGTAGTTTTGGCATCTTAGATAGGCCTTTACTGCCGTTGGCTATCTGATTTTCCAAAATAGTCAACTTGTGGTCAAAAGGAGAGTTGTCCCTTAATGTACATGATGATTGTATTTCTTGACAATAATGTATATTAAAACCCTATCAAAATAGTTTTATCTGTAAAACTGAGTTAGGTTCTAGGTAGGTTTTTCACCCATGTAACTAGCTGGTGGGATATTTGAAAGTCATGGCATGGGACAAATCTTCATTGTTGAGGATTGTTTCTTGCCTTGCAGGACACTAGCATCTCTGACCTTCCTAACTAAGTACTACTACTTGTCTCAAAACACCCGTAGAAATTTCTAAAGTTCCCTGAGAAGTTGGTTCTTTCCCTTTTGCAGACCTCTTATGGGGAGAGAGAGAAGAGGGATGGATCCTCAAAAAACTTGGCATTAAGAATTTTATTAGATGTGGAGGACTAGGGGAAGTAAACTGTGATTGGCAGCCAGTGGGTAGGTGGTAAATCAGGAAAGTAATGTTTTAGAAGGCAAGAGGAAGTTTCTAGAAAGCGGAAGGACTCAATTGTCAAATAGCACTGAGAGGTCAAGTAACAGGACATAGAAATCACAGGCTTGGACAACATGGAGGTGGTAATGATCCTGACGAGAGGAGTAAGAAGGATGGAAGCCCATACTCTGGTGAGTTAAAGAGGGCTAAAGTACACGGGAGGTGGGGAGCAGGAGTGTAAGAAGAGAGAACTGTTGCAGGAAATTTGGTATGACGGGGAGAGGAGAAATAGTGTGGTATTTTGGGGAGTACATAGCTTTTAATACTTAGAAATAAGTTAGAAGATAGAACACATTTTGTGTGCTAATAGGAATAATCCAGCAGAAAGGGAAAGATTAATGCAGGAACAAGGGGATAATGAAGGATTATAATATAACAAAGGGATAAATTGTATGCTGCAGACTGTAAGTACTCTTTACGTTCATAGGAGAGGGTCATAATGAAGCCGGGGCTGGCGATAAGAAGTCTCTGTGCTGGGCTTGAAGGATGGTAAAATTTCCACAGGTGGAAAGGAAAAAGGGACCTTTTTTGGATGAATAGGATAAACTTGGTAAAAGCAAAAGGCAGAGTAGAGCATCTGTTATTTCCCCCTTTGATTCAAAGTATTCTTGTGTTTATCCATGAGCCTTTGAGGGAACAGGGAGAAGAAAAGAAATTAATATTAAATAGTATTTTTTGTGTATCAGACATTTTGCTAGGTCTCTACATGCATTATCTCATGTGATGTTCACAGTAACCCGCCTTTCCAGAGGAGAAAGCAACCTTAAACAACAGGTTAAATAACTTTCTCAAGGTAATTTAGCTAATGAGTAGGGAAAGAGAATGCTTTTACTTTCCTCAGGAATCTCATTAACATCCCTGATGTTCCCTAATAAAGTGGTAAGGCATTCATTTAATCGCTGAGCAATAAAATCTTTGCATTAAACAAGACTGAATGAACTGTGATTCTTCTTAGTAGAACAGGAGTCGTCACGTCACAATGTTGGCAAAACACACACTGTAGCCTTTTTATCTTAAATCTTGTTTTTCATTTAATGCAATGTGGGGACTAGCAGATCTTGACTATATATCTAGAATGGGTAGTCGACCAAAAAAAGACAAAAAGGTGCAAATAGAGTACTACAGTGTAGTGGGACAAAATTGAAGGGGGTTTTAAATCATAACATAAAAAATATGCTATTTTTGGCAATTGAGCCAAAACCCTTAAGTACCTTTGGCTTTTAAGTGGTTTTGAATAGTTTTATAAATCCTAACATTTTACTTCAAATAAAGTAGGTTTTAGATAAATTAAACATGAAGTATTTCTTTGATATTTTGAATATTGAAATGTAATGAAAGTTAAATTAGTAACTGAGCAGTAACGTCTATTCTTCTTAGGTTTCCTTTCCTCCATTGAGTTTCATTTCTTTAACATTTGTGATTTAAAATTTAAATTATGCTGGTAATACATGAATAGCTCCCATTTCAAAAGATTTGAATACTCAGAAGTAAAACTCGAAAGCCCCTTCTTAACTTACTATACTGTACTGCCTATACCCTATTAGCCCCTTCTTCAGAGATAATTGCCGTCAGTTATATAATCTTCTACTTGGTTTTTTCAGGTATGTCGTTGACATTTTCCCCTCACAGTGCATATAATCGATTCCATTCTTTAGCAGGATACTTCCGTGATTTATTCAGTCACTTTCCTGTTGACTCACTATTCAGGTTTTTGTGTATTTTGGGGGAGGGGGCCTTATGTAAAAGTGTTTCTTTAGGACAATTCCCTGACGGGGCTCTATAATTTGAATGAAAATAAAGCTTTTGCCATTTGGATTTTATTTTAATTTTTGGTGTGTTTGAATTTTAAAATAATGCATTTGAAAAATAGATAATATGTGCAGGTTCAAAATTCAAAAGGTACAGAATGAGAGTTAGCCTCTTGTCGCCCTTCCTTTAACCAATCTGTTCTTTGTCGTGGCCACCATTCACACTTCTTGTATAGCCTTCTAGAAATAATTGTGCATGTTTAGGCATATGTTATATCCTTATAACAGCTTGTCATAGTTCTCTATGCAAATTATGCATACACACTGTTCTGTAGTGTAAAGATTTACCGTGGATTTTGTTCCATACCACTGCTTAGAGAACTGCGTCATTCTTCTATTTAGGACCGCGTTGGGTGGCTTTACCATATTAATTTTAACCCATTCCAAACTGATGGACATCTAGGTTGTTACCAGTCTTTCGCTACTGTAATGTTTCTTATGTACATTGGGTACTTCTGTGTGAACTTGAAGGGTATAGACATTTAAAATTTTGATATATATTGTCAAATTGTACTCTATAGAGATTGTTCTAATTTACTCTCCCACCAATGGAGTGTGAGTGTCTCTCTAACACTGTTTTCAAACTTTTTGATCTTTGCCAACCCGATAAGGTTAACTGTTGGTTTAGTTTGCATTTCTCCTATTGTGAATGAGATTGATCATCTCTTGACATATTTAAGAGACATCTATTTTTCCATTTCTTTGAATTGGTTGTTCATCTCCTTTGCTCATTTCTCTGTTGGTTTGTTGATCTTTTTCTCATTACTTTGTAGGAACTTGTTAAAAATTGAGTAAATTATCACTATGACATATTTGTCATATTTGGCAAACTTTTTCTGTTTTCTTATTTATCTCTCATTTTACCATATTCCTTATCATGCAAGGAGTTATTATTTTTATGTAAGTTTTAAACCATTTTTACTCTCTAACCAAACTGCCTACTTTGGTTAGAATGGTACCACATGGTTGGTATCATTCCTAATAATTCAAATTGAATGATAACATAACTAGAAAATATACAGAAGATAAAAATATAGTTTTAGATATTTTGCTTTTAGAAAATTTCCTGGACTGATTAAATATTAATATCTACAAGTATTATAATACCAAAAGTAGGATTATAGGTCAAAAAGGAAAGGAGATTTCATAGATTATCTGATTGACCCAGCGCTTCCTAAGTATCTGCAGTGTGCAAAACTCTGCTGGGTATTGTGATAAAGGGGATAATCTTGAGTGAATTTTGAGGTTAGGCAGGATGCGTAACGTTGATAACTGTTAGGATTAGGGAAGGCCTTGAAGAGGTCAAATTTAGGAAAGGTGAGGCAATCTACGAAGTAGTTGCCTAGCTGTTTCGCTCTTAAACTTCCTCGAGTCCATTCTGAGGTTTCACAATCTCCATTCTTGGTCGAAAACAAATCCTAGGGATTTAGCCCACTTTCCACCTTCTTCATTTCTTCCTTATTTACATATTTTTAATCTTTGTTATTTACTGTTTTCCCAGACTGGCTATGAAATGAGATGGTCTCTCCATCCAACCCCTTTCATTGTCAGTGAAGATAGGAACATAAAATCCTTAATGACCATAGTTTATTGCTGATCACTGTGTGTGCACAGATAAGGAATTAAAAAAAAATGAATATGGGGAAGGTAGAAAATGCAGCAAGGATATCGTACTGAGTTCTTATAATAGCTGTAGTTCTGGGTCCCCTTGCTGAGAAGGTAAGAGAAAGCTGGCCTCTTACCTTCTGATTTTGTTTCTGCTTGCCCTGTGCCTTTAAAACTTTCTCTTTTGTCTGAGCTCCAGTTTAGTGAAGGTCATACTGATTCCTTCCTCCATACTTACATAATGGTCTGTGTTTCTAATTTCCTGTAGAGCTAGCCAAGCAGTATAGTGGGTAATCCCTTGTCCTAGATGTAGTCAATAAACTTACCTGGACCCATCCATACTTTCTTCCCTTTTGTCGCACGGAATAAGTTGTCTTTTTTCCCCCCTCCAATGTTAATCCTCTCATTGATTGGCAGATACTTAATTTCATTTTTATTCACATTTTTGATATTTATATTTGAATTGTTTTTTATTTGTTTTTAGGTAAAATTTGGTAATACCACCTTTAAAACAGATGTATATCTCAAGTCCCTCAACCCTCAGTGGAACTCGGAATGGTTTAAATTTGAGGTAAGTTTTTAAATGTCAGCATTTTTGAGTGTGTGTTTTTTTTTGTTTGTTTGTTTTTTGCCGGTGGGCATAGCCCACCATCGAATAGGCAGTCTTGTTGTTAGGAGCACGTGCTCTCACCAGCTGAGCCATCCTGCCACCTGTTGGCAGCTCAGAAGCAGGTCAGCTCCAGTGCAGCATCACTGGCCCATGTGGGAATCGAACCGGTAGCCCTATTGCTCAGGGCTCGAGCTATTAAGCTAACTCTTAACTTACTGAGCCAATTGGCCGGCCCCTTGAGTGTGTTTTTTTTGTTGTTTTTTTTTAATTGGGGAATTGGGGGGATGAGAACAGTGCTGGGGAATTGGGGGAAGGGGAACAGGCAAGTTGCTGTCCTTTTGTTCTTCTGTCTAGTTGTGGAGGAGGTTGCTTCACTGGCCCAAGTTGGCACCATCATTGTGCTCTTCCCAGGCGAGGCAGATCAGTCGCTGGCTTCTGGACGGCTGCTCACTGCGGCTGCTGGCCGCGCACGCTGGCTGCTGGCTACTTACGGTAGCCCATGGCAACCCACTGCCACAGGGGCTGCAGCCTACGCCGTCGCCAGTGACTCATGGCAGCCCAGCTCCAGGTTGAGCTGTTGTTCAGCATTTTAGCTGTAGAGGGCAGTGTCACTGGCCCTCATATGTGGGATCCAAACCGGTGCCCCCTGGCGTCCGAAGCCTGTTCTTAACCATCGCGCCACTCGGCCGGCCCTTGAGTGTGTTTTTTTGAGGTGACTCCTTTCCCCAAGAATGATAGGGTTACCTTTTATTTCAGGTATAGTAGTTTTCCTGCACCATAAATGTATTTCCTAGGAATATTAAGTTTTTTTAAAAAATATTAACAGGTGAGAAAATACATGAATAGGAGAACCCAGATTTAAAAAGAATATTAGTATATATTAATTTTTTCTGAACTTTAGCATATACCAGAAATCACTAAAGAACAATGTATAGATTAAAAAAAAATTTATCACTCTTACCACCTAGGAAATTCCAAGGGTTTTGGGAGCTGTGAGCCATGATGAAGACCAAATATCATATAAATCACAATATTGTACTTACCCTATTTACCTCTGTTTAGTGACTTATGCTTATATCTCGTTAGCTGCAAAGGAGGCTAGGAAGTGTAGTCTTTTAGCTGGGTATCTTGCTATGCAGCTACATTTTTTAAAAAACTTAGAACATTTCTGAGAAAGTCTTAGTTAAAATTAATTGCCAAACTTCTCTATTCAGATTATTTATTTATTAGCTATCTATATGTCATGAACTATTTCTAGTCACTTAGTATGGAGCCCTATAATGTCAGGGAAGGGATACCTTAGTGTCACATGAGGTAAGATGATGGTACTCACAGGTGAATGTGTGGGTGGTTAAATAAATGTACACAAAAAAATGTTATTAATGGTTGGTTAGAAATTGGACGGATGTCTTTAGAAGGATGGTTAATGACTTAGTTTATTACTCTTTTCCTTTTATTAAATGTAAAGAATATATAGCAGTGGTAGAGAGAATGCCATTGATGAAAAATGATTCTGAATGGATTGGAATTCAAAAAGATTGTTTTATTTTAACATTTTATTATGGATATTTTTAAATATGCACAAAAGTAGATGTATAGATGTTACAATACCATTGACTATATTCCCTATGCTGTACTTTACATCCCATGAGTATGTATACATACATATATATATATATATATATATATATATATATATATATATATATATATATATATAGTTATAGCTGATATACAATATTATTCTACTTCAGCTTCAGGTGTACAGCGCAGTGGTCAGACATCTGCACAGTCTGTGAAGTGGTCCCCCTGATAAGTCCAGTACCCATCTGGCACCCTACATAGTCTTTACAATATTGTTGATTATATGCCCCATACTGTATTTCATATCCCCAGGGCTATTTTGTGATGACCAATTTGTGCTTTCTCATCCCTTCACCTTCTCCCCATCCCCATCCCCCTCCCATCTAGCAACCATCTTTTTTTCTCTGTCTCGGAGTCTATTTCTGTTTTGTTTGCTTGTTTTTTCTGTTCTTTAGATTCCACATATGAATGAGATCATATGTTATTTATCTGAGAAAGACCCCTTTTTGAAAACAAATCATCCAGTCACGCCACATTCATGATATCAATAATAATTCCTTCATGTACTTTAATTCTTAAAATAATCTCAGAGAGGCTGGATGATTAGCCTAAAATCAATAAGAAATTAAACAGGGGATGGGGAAAGGCATAATGTTCATAATTAAGTTTAAAAATTTAACCAAAATATAAGGATTGCAGAGCTATCACTTGACCAAAACATATGTAATGAAGATATAGAGATTTTAACCATAAACTCAATCTTAATAACTATATGCTATACCTGCTGTAACAGCAAACATTCATAGACTGCATTTAAAAAGTATAGTATTTTAGTTACAATAACCCTTTTGTAGTCTCTCCTAGTCTTATTACTATCTCTACTATTTTGTTCCATCTAGCTCCTATATTGATGAGGAGTACTGGCCAATTATTGGATGACAAGGTATCCAGAGGATGGCAGCCAACATAGTCAATGTGTCTTCCCTGAGGGAGAAATTTTTTTTTTTTTTTTTTTTTTGCCTTGTTCTTTGTCTTACTTTGGACTGCTGTAACAGAAGACCATAGATTGGGCATCTTAAACAATAGTATTTTATTTCTCACAGTTCTGGATGCAGGGAAACCTGAGATTAGGGTACTATAATGACTGGGTTATGGTGAGGGTGCTCTTTCTGGCTTGCACATGGTCATTTTCTTGTTGTGTCCTTACATGGTGGGGAGAGAGATCATCTCTCCCTATTTCTACTTAGAAGGATATAATCCCATTCATAAGGGCTCCACCCTTATGACCTAATTACCTCCCAAAGTCCCCATCTCCAGATACCCTCATATTAGGGATTAGGGCATCAACATTGAATTTTGAGGGGACACAAACATTCAGTTCATTGCATTCCCCATTGTAGTCCCTCTCTTTGGCACAGTGCTTGGCGCATTATAAGTACTTGATAATAAGTAAAAGAAGGAGAGAACTTAAGTAATGAACTTAAATTGTTATTTCTTACAAATAATGTTAGTTTTGCTTACAGCTTTACTGTCTGCAGTTGTCCTTAGAAATTGTGTCATTGTGCTCATTAGCATCCTTACTCTCTGTAGCTAATATATGGACTCTATTATGGCATTCCTAAAGCATTTTTGCTGGATATTATAGGTTGAGTAGTAAGACAGAGGATAATATGTAGAAAAGGAATTAAAGCCCTTTTGTGTGTTAATCATCCTGACTTTGTGTTTGGAGGTAAACTGCTTTTTTTCCCCTAGAAATTTGGCATCTTGTATAGAAATAGGAGTTACAACTTTTTGTTTGTGTGTTAATCAGATTTCTTTTCCAGAAATAAGTAATCTTTTACATTTGCTGTGTATATACATTTATGACAATGCCGGTTTTTCAATTATGAAGATTTAATTTTAAATTATACTTGTAGGTGGACGATGAAGACTTACAAGATGAACCCCTACAGATCACCGTTCTTGACCATGACACTTACAGTGCAAATGATGCCATTGGTAAAGTGTACATCGATATCGATCCTTTACTCTATAGTGAAGCTGCAACAGTCATCTCAGGATGGTTTCCAATTTATGATACCATACATGGTGAGGACTATGTTTTAAGAAAATAAATCAGTCTTTAATATAGTAAATGCATTATTTAAAAATCATCTCATATTTCTACTCTGTTCCTAAAACATTTTCAAACTGTATTCCATTAAGCTAGACATTGTAGAGAGTTGCAAAAATGTAACATAGTGCCACTCTTATCATTAGTATTTTTGGTTTTCAAAATAGTTATTTTTATAAAAAGTATTGTTTATATTAATATAGATTTATTAATACTTTAAATGGAGTAATAAGTAAATACTGTTTAATTCTCAATTTTAATTTATAATATGGTAAATGTTGATAGATATGAGCCTCATAAATAAAAACTCCTCAGTAATTTTTAAGATTGAAAGGGGTCCTGTGATCAGAAAGTTTGAGAACTGCTAGTCTTAAAATGTGCTGTCTCTTTAGAATTGTAAATGGACTCTTAAGGAACTGGCAGATGCTTCTATCTACAGTATTGCATCTTTCTGCCGGTTTTACATTTTTGACCTGGCAATTCCATTGATAGCCAGTTATTATAAGAAAATAAGGTATTTGCTGGGATTTATGTATATTTATTATACTTACACATACATATGTATATGTTATAGATGTTATAATATGTTATGTATATTCTGTTATTATTTACTAATGTTTAAATTGGTAAAAATAAATTGGAAAACAGCAATTACTTTAATAATTTAGAGCACATATAAACCATAAGTAACACAGCCAGAACAAAAAGCATATTTTCAAAATACAATAGCATAAGGAAATATTATGAATTTCAAAATTCAGATTATAAAACATTATTATATGATGATCCCAAGTTTAGAAACAAAAGAATTGTATATACGTGTTATTGGATAAATTGGCAGAACACGTGTTAAAATGTTTATCCTTGGATAGTTTTATTTCTGGACTATAATCCTACTTTTCCTCTTTGTGCTCTTTCTCTTTATTCCATAGTTTCTACAATGTATATGTATTATTTTTTATTATTATTTTTGTATTTAGGAAATAAAATCCAGTCAAATGTTTTATTACCAATAAAAAAGTCACTGGAGAATTAATATGGGCTTGGATTAAAGACAATAGCTATATGAGTGAATGAATTTTCCAAACATATTAAATATTGTTTATAATTGGTTTATTATGTTATATGGGCCCTTTGTAAGGAACATAATCTCTTATTATTTTAATTGGTAAATGTGCAAGCCTTAGAATTATTCCTCCATAAATATGAATTTGACAGGAAGTCACAATAGTCAAACTACTTAGTAAATGTTTAGAGAGGGGCTGGGTCATAATTTTTGTTAGAGCGTCTTCTGAAAAACCCTTTTTCTTGGAATTTCTTAGCTTATTTTAACTTATTACTGTATATTCTTTGAAAATAATAAAACTTCTTTTGTGTTAAATCAGATTCTTTTTTTTTTTAAATTTATTTTTTATTATTAGTTTCAGGTGTACAGCACAATGCAATAGTTATCCTTTTCACCCCTCACAAAATAAGAACCCTCTTCGCCCCATCCACTGCCCTCCCACCCCTGATATCATACTTATCTGTTACAATTCCATTGACTCCATTCACCACTTCATATATGGTGTAGAGGCCTGACCACCGCACTGTATTTCGGAAGTTGATGTTAAATCAGATTCTTGCATTAGTTATTAAGAGCATTTAGTCTGGGATAATAATAATCTGACTTTTAATCCTGGTTTTACCACTTACTAGCTGTTGACACCATGCAAATTATTTAACTTTTTTTAAACTTTGGTTTCTTTCTCTGAAAAATGAGGATAATAACACTACAGAAATTACCTTACTGGGTAGGTGTGAGCACTATGAGTTACTACTTGTAAAGCATTTAGAACATTATCAATTCTCAGCAAATGTTACCATCATCATCATCATTAATTTAAATGGGACTCCTTTCCAGTTGAATTGGTTCAGATAAGTGGAGGCTTGTGGTAAAAATGAAAATTATTTCTTCTTTATTTAATACATACATGGTTTTCAGAAAATGTAATAAAGAAACTTAGAATGAAAATAATTAGGAAACAAAGTTAGTATTGGTAGGATTGACACATTATTTAAAAATCATTAATTGGCATATATTTGCTTGTTTAATTATACTTCATTTTCTTAAGGTAGAAACTTGATTTTCCTTTTGAAATTACAGGTATCCGTGGGGAAATCAATGTAGTTGTCAAAGTAGACCTCTTCAATGATTTAAATCGATTTAGGCAGTCATCATGTGGAGTCAAATTCTTTTGCAGTAAGTAAATACATTTTATTATTCATTTAATAGGAAATGTAATAATTGATAAATATGGGAAATCAAATTAATATTTTAAAAGGCTAATGGAAAATCTGTTATACTTCGGTTTTAATGCCAAAGGGAAAATTGTTAATTTTTCAGAAACAACTGCTGTTGCTCTGGGGACTATCTTATTTTAAGTAAGTGATACCTAATTTTTTATGAGTTCATAGACATTTTTGTTAGAAAAATTTGTTGAGGCACATGTCATGACAATGCCACTGTGGCCCATGGGGAGGCTATACCTGGCCTTGTCCCATTCCTGGCCAACTCCAGCCCCTTTTCTAGCCGCTGCTCCAGCCTCCACTCTGGCCTACAAGCCTGATTAGAAGAAATAACATTAAACATTGCTGATGACAGCCACTAGAAAGAGCAACAGCCAGTAGGAAGAATTAACAGGTGAAGATTTTGGAATTCTTTCCAGAACTTGAAAGAAGAATCCATATATTAGTGAAACAACTGAATCTCATGTACTTAAACCGTATGTTGCATGATATTAGGCCTGAAGGTAGAGAATTGATTCTGAGATACCTAAGAATGACTGGAAACAAGATTGAAAATAATGGTGGAGTGTGTTTTGCTGCAGTGCTACAAAATAATTCATCTTAGAGAAATTAGATCTGGGTGACCTTTATCTGGGAAGGCAACGTGTGATAGCACTTGCTACAGTCCTAACTCAAAACCAAACCTTTAAGGGAATAAACCTAAACTGACCTATACTCTATGGTGAACAGGAAGAGTCCACAGTTCATCTAGGCCACATGTTGAAAGAAAGTCACTGCCTTGTTGAACTATATATGTGTTAGCATGTTATAAAAAACATGCTAAGTATGTGTAAGCATGTTATAAAACTGTGGTATGAAACAGGTGATGCACTGTATCTGAAAAGCAGCCTGTGCTGCCTTGATGTCAGCTGGTTGTCAGTGGTCAGCAACAACTTCGAGGGAGAAGGACTTGGCCTTTCTCAGTCGATGAACACAAATCTCACTCTCTCAGACTTCATTCAAATGGGCTGTGTAAAACCAGACACAACACAGATGTGGAACCATTGGTGGGGAATGGACGTGTGTGTTTTGCGGAAGCCTCCAGTGGCCTTAAAAAGCATAATTATTGGATACCAACTTACGGAGAAGCTTGCAGCTTCTCATCTAATGCAGGTTTTAACCTTGTACGAGTAGGTCAACATCTATGAAAAACGAGCTCAAAAATAGTTTTCACATTATTTGTCTTACTGCTTTCACAGAGATTAATATTTTATTGCCTATTAAATTTTTATTTTATAAGTTAGGACAAGTTACTTTTGTCAGAAATATAACTGTATTAAACTTTGTATAACTGTCAAAAAGAAAACAAAAAAGAAAAACCCAGGACACTGCAAGATAGGAGCAGAGTGCTGTAGCCAAGCACTGTGATGTTTTCCAAAATTACATAGGCTTCTGTAGGTATGCAGCCCCGTGAACACCGTGCAATATGGATTGGAATTGGGAGGATCTGGGCAATTCATAGCCAGTTTGGATTAATAGAGTTGAAAACTCCTAAGTACTTGAGTTAGCTTCAAGGCATGAATGTCTATTTTAACATATATTTGGGATACATGTTCTCAGGTTCTCCCCTTCAGAATCTGACAAGATCTTACTTAAGTTCAGTGACATTTGGTGTCCTACATACTAAATGAGTCTGTTAAGTAGTACAGTGACTACTGAACCAGTTGTCCGTATGGACAAAGATTGTTATAAACTGCAGGAATGTGTGACTCCTCAGGTTGTATCAGAAAGATCATGGTTTGACGTTTAAGGCTGCAGTGTATGGCGTTCAGAGCTTTCTCAAAGGGTTTTGAATAAGTAGAGTTCTTTGTATTCATTATCTTCTTTCTACCTATTTATATAACAGTCAGCTTAGCTGACTTTAATTTTGATTTTTTGAGCTTTGTATTGAGTGGTATTTAAGAAGTCTATAGCTAGTTTCTTAATTATAAAAATATAGTTTATATCTACTACGCTTACATGAAAAAGGTGAGAGGTCTCATGAAAGAAAATGATTATATCTAAGAATAAAATGATACATAGAAGACTGTTCAATTGGAAGTATTATTATAATTATACTGAGATTATCACAGTAAAAGATATTCTTGTACTATTTATCCAAAATGTAAGAACTTAGTTTTACATTTTTAAAAAAAATCAAATTTAGCTTTTTGATAAATAGAAGCATAATAGACAATTTCTTTTAACAGCAACATCTATTCCAAAGTGCTATAGAGCTGTAACAATTCACGGATTTGTAGAAGAACTTGTGGTCAATGAAGACCCAGAGTATCAGTGGATTGATCGAATTCGCACACCAAGGGCGTCAAATGAGGCCAGACAGAGGCTCATTTCTTTAATGTCAGGTATTTAAAAAAACAACAAAAACAAAACAACTTCATTACTGATTGACTTAATACTCCAAATTTTTTTCAGTTCCTTTTAACAGGCCACCTGAAATTTTGCAATGAAGATTGTAAATTGTAAGTGACTGATTCCCTACCCCTGACCCCATCCTACACTGCCATCCTAACAAGAAGAAATCTGAATCAGAACCATACAGTTCCTTCTTAACTAGACGGTAAAAGGAAATAGTGCTCGTGAAGTGGCTTAGTGGAAAGTGCCCTGAGCAAGGAGGTAGGAAAGTGGGGTCCAGTTAGTTTATCTCTCTCTAGCATTTATTTATAATCAGAGCTTAGGCAATCTCTCTAATGCTTTTTGCTTGAATCTTGCCTTTTCATAGTGCTTCTCTGACAGTATGTCGCTCCTTCTACCCTTCCCTCCCAATCTTTTCTTTATTTTTCTTTGAAGAATTTATTTACCTCTAACATTCATATTTATTTGTATATATGTATGAGTGTATATATACACACTTATCAGGCAGTAAGTAAAAATGTTATATATATAATAAATTTATATAGTTTAAATAGAAAATGCAAATATATTTATACTTTTATTAATATTAATATTATACTTAATTGGTATTTACAAATACAAATATAAATGTTATATTCACTTAATACGTATTGGGTTGTCGGAAAAGTCATGATGCATTTTTGCAACAAAAAAATAGAAAAAATATGTCATGACTTTTCCAACAACCCAATATTATATGTACTATATTAAGTAATACATTTAATGATATGTTTTATATTTGTATTATATTCTACATATTTATATTAAATGATATACAATCATAATATATAAATTATACATTATAATTGTATTTGACTGTATTATGGTCTGTGTATTATGTTATATTTATATGTAATATTTATATTTGATTACTTGCTTTTTATCTGTTTCTCTCACCATTATGTAAACTCCCCTAATATGGAGGCTGTATCTTTCGAGTTCATTTCTGTATCTCTAGTACTTAGGAGAAAGGAATAATGCCAGGCACATAGCACACAACCAAAAATTATTTGGTACATGAATACCTGCCACATCTGTAAAATGTAGCTAATAATATCTTACCTCCCTGAAAGGAGGAAGCTGAACAAGATAATCTTTAGGTTCCCTTCAGATTCTAAAAAAATCTGTGATTTTTTGGACTCTATTTTATTACTACCATATCCAGTTTTATATTATGTAATGTGGAGATATGAAGCAGAACATTGCCTTCCTTTTTTGTAGGTGAACTGCAGAGGAAAATTGGCTTGAAAGTCCTCGAAATGAGAGGAAATGCGGTTGTTGGGTACTTGCAGTGTTTTGATCTGGAAGGTGAATCTGGCCTAGTGGTGCGAGCCATAGGAACAGCGTGCACGCTGGATAAATTAAGTAGCCCAGCAGCATTCCTTCCTGCATGTAATTCCCCATCCAAAGAAATGAAGGAGTAAGTATGCATCAATGAATTGTTCTTATGGATCTTTTTATCTTTTACCTATACATTTTCATTTGATTTGAGACATTTTAATAGTGTTGTTCAACATGCATTTTTTTTCCTGTGGTGATTATTCTTATAGAGATGACTGTCAACATATGAAGCTTAAAACTGTTTAGATATTCCTCATACTTTATTTATAGTCTTAATATGAAATTCAAATTAAGTAATGTATAATTAAATTTATTCCAGATCTTTAGACACTGTATATGTAAAAAGAATAAAATGAATATGCATGGTATGGAATTTTACTTGTTCTCTGGGAAATGCTGAAAACCCTACACCTGGGAATTCAATTATGCTTATTATTAGCAACATTAGAGAAAGCAGGACAGATTGACTTGTGCAGGGGTCTCAAACTCGAATGTCTACAGAGGCCAAGCAGTTTATATAAATAATTGGGTGCAATTAAATAGGTATTACTGGGGACTGTGTAAAGCAGATGTTAGCAAACTTTTTCTGTAAAAGGCTAGATAGTAAATATTTCAGGCACTGGCCATACAGTTTCTATCTTTGTTTACAAAAAAAAAAAAAAGTTTGCTGATCCTGATCTAATGGTATTCAGGCTCACACATTTTTTAAAACCTGTGTGTGATCAAAGAAAACACTTCTGTTGGCTAGATTTGTCCTCTGTGTCATCATTAAAATTGGTGGTGCTGGCGCTGTCAATAGGGAATGTTTGAAACGAAAACTTTCTGTCCTAATGATTGGGTGAGTGGGACAATCCTGTTGGGGACTAGAAATGCCGACTCTCCTACAAAGCAAGAGACAACTCCATACAACTCTATCTAAATGCCAATTGTACTTCCATTGAGAACCATTGATCTAGGGATTCTTCTAGATCAAAGGTCAACACACTTTTTCTGTAAATGACAAAAGACACAGGTAAATAATTTAGTCACAAATCCTTGACTCTGCTGTTGTGTGAACGTGGCCACCAACGATCTGCAAATTAATAAGTGTAGCTATGTTCCAATAAAACTTACTTCCTTACAAAACAGATAGCAGGATGAATTTGGCCTGTGGGGTAGTTTGCTGACCCATTTCCTAAATCATCAGGGAGTCAGAATTCTATAGTCAGAAAACCTGAAATATTTCCTAGTTCAGCAATAGTCAAGAGAGGTTGAATAGAAAACAATCTTATTATTATTATTTTTTAAATAACCTTTTTTAAAATGAGATTTTTCTCTTTTCTTAAACTTGTTCTTTTTGTTTAATTATTTCCCTCCTGCCGGCCTTTAGTCATTTGGATTAAATTTTAGTCACAAGAAGGGAGTACATATATTACCTAATTTTATTTAGAAATACATTGCAAGTCAAATAACTTTTAAATAAATTGGAACGGTGAATTTGCTTTATATTCCATTTGAAATGTGTTTTTAAAAAGATACAAACTGCCTGCTGCTCGAGGAAAAGTCAGATTTCAGGGGTAACTTTTTGAGGGATTCAGATTTTTTTTTTCTTTTTCTGTAGCAAATTTAAGTAAAGGCCTGGGGCCCTCTCTTCCAGCTTTATCTGCATTGCCTGAAGGAGTCTGACTTTTGCAGTTGTGATGCGTGAAGTTTTCTGCTTTTCACTAAATTACTTAGTGGAAAGAGAAAGCTATATTACTTGTTGGTGTCTTAGAATGATAAATGGATGGGCAGTAGGGAAATACATTTTGCCTGCACTCAGGAAGTGTTCCAATAATGTAAATCTTCTGGGATTGTGTAAGTGTTCTTTTCTAATTTTGCTGTAGCTATTTGCTTTAAATTGTCAAATATTCACACCATGAAGAATTTAAATTGCTTCATTAAGATTTTCTGAAAGGCATCTTACTACCTAAATCATGTTATTTAAAAACAAAAAACCACCTCCATACTCATGCTGCTTCATTTCAACTAACTTCTTTGTATTTTTGATAAGGAATAATTTGAGTGCTAGCTTAACATTGTTTTATGATTCAGTAGATTATACTTATTCTGGTATTATAACATTGTTGATTCCTAGACAGAAATTTGAGAAAATAGTTTGGATTATGTTCCTGTCTGAATGGATTCAATATTAGAAATACCACTAGAATATTGTAAGGCAACCTTTCATGCAAGGAAACCACTAAGAATTTGAACTCCAAGAATACATTATGGTGATGCTTGAGCTTATTTGGATTTTAATGTGATGTCATAATTTGAACATTTTACAATGTTCATTTTATTTTACCTTTATTAATGGTGTGTTCTACTCCATCAGTTTGTTTTCTTTTCCTTTTAGATATTTAGTGTAATGTCCTAGCTGAGTATCTTGATGATAGAAAGTACATTTAAATATGATTCATTGCTTCTCTATGTTAGGAAAAAAGTACTTTCTAAGAAACTTTAACCGTAATTTCTCCTCTGTACGGCACTGATTTTTAGACTTTTTAACTTCATTAGTGACATCAACAGAGAAAAAACAAAAATAAAGCCTCACTGAGTTGTTTGTATACAAACAAGTTGCTAATGAGCTGTTTGATTTTTATCAGTTATATTAAACACATTTTTAAACTAGCAACAAAAGCAGAAACATTTGTTCTGTAAAGTCAGTGATATTTTCCGAAAGTAGTCTGTAGACCCAATGAAAGACCATTTGCCAATTAGTGATACCTTGACAAATTGTGAATTGTTGGGGATGTTCCCTGGGCAATGGAAAAAAAAAAAGGCCAGGAAAAGTTGGGCTGTTAGCTTGCTTTTTAATTTAAATTCTAAAAAATGGGGATATGATAATTTTTCAGTGTGTATTCATTGATGATTCTTTTTACCTCAATGTGCATAAGCAAAAGCATTGCAGGGTGAAATAATTGCTAATATAAAGTCCAAGATTCTTAGTTATATAGTAAACCTTTTTCCCCATCCAATGTAACCATGTCCTTTTAGCCAAATTTCTTTGTGAAAATATTAAATGTTATATATGAATATATATCCGTATCTGATCTTAATATATCTATACATGTACATAGATGTGGCCTATTGCAGGATATAAGTTGATATCTTATAAATTTCAATTCAGAATGTAGTTTAAATACTGTTTAAGTTTACATAATTCTGTTTCAGAGCTAGACAAAAATCTTTTACATTGCTTTATTAATGTGTTTTTAAAAGCAGTGTTTCCTCGCTTTGTTTTGTTCCAGTGTAACCTGGTTTTCAGCCATATACTTGGTGTGCAGAAATATGGACTGTCTGTATCTGAATTATATCCATGCAGCGCACGCATTTCTCTTTATGCCATCATTGTACCTATTCTTCAGTACTCCTGTCTTGAGATTCTAGACAGAAAGTTTTGTTAGTTAAACTACCTTTATAGGAAATATAATTAGTTATATCAGCAGTTATTCGTGTATCAGTTTCAAAGGTAATATAAGAACTTTATATTTGACTTTTCACTTTTATGGTTGTTTTCTCCCTAAGATACTGTGTAGTAACCTCTGGTGATCAAAACCTATGTTGATCAAAATAATAACAAAAATTTTAGAGCAACTTAAAATCCAAATCTTAGTCTTTTTTAAAATTTCAATTCCACTGACAATTCTGCTTGCTGTTCTTCTTATTCATAGTCCTAATTTATTAATCTGAGCCTTTATAACTATATCCTAATGAATGAATATTGAGCTATTTTTAAAAAAATTTCAGCTTGTTTCTTTGCATGCTAGGGATTAACAAAATAATTCCTCTCCCCTATCTAAAGCTCCTTTGAAATTATTTTAACATAACTTGCTGTCTGTTGTATGTACTGTTTTCTTTTCTTCCACTTGACCACAAATCCCCTCAGGTCTCCGCTGGTTCATCCTCCAAGCCATGGATGCCGCTCGACTCACAACAGCCCAATTCACACTGCTACTGGCTCTCGGCTTACTCAGAACTTCTCTGTGTCTGTTCCCACTCTCATCTACACTGGTACGAGACTGCTCAGACTCCAGAGCCGGGGAAGGCAGGCCACAGGCAGAGTGGCTGCAGAGGGCAGGCAGGCAGGCAGGCAGGCAGCATAGGCAGGGACCACATGTGTTGGCTTCCTCCTTTCCTCACTCCAAGGCCAGCTGCAGTGAAGACATCCTGCATGTAGCCGCCACAGAGGCCCTGACTACATGGAAGTGAAAGTGTACTTCCAGCTTCCAGAGCCTCCTCCATAGATCCTCTAAGGACCCTATTCTGTGTATGTGTATTCTGAGTTTTTAGGAGAATCCTCCAGTACATATTTTTGCCATTATAAATTACATTTGGTTAGAAATAAAATTGATAATTGGAATCTAAATGAAATAGTTGCCATAGCTTCCGATTTGCTTATTTTCTTTGTGTACAAAACTTGTGACAGTAGGGTCTCTTTCATTCTGTGGAAGAGAGCTAGTGGAAAACAGGTAAGCAACTGTTCTGCATAAAATACAACGTTTCTGTGTAGCAATATTCACTTTCCTTTCTGCTGTGTTTTTAGCTGTGGCATTCTCGATGCTGTAGGATAAGGAAACATTTTTCTTCTGAAGATATTTGTGTGTGTGCAAATATAAAAACAATTGTGAATATTTACACACACCATTTGCAGTCATTTTTTTCTTTTGTAACTTAAAAAAGCATTGTTTATTTGAAAGTATTTTCAGTTATGTATTTATTCTTTTTATTTGTCCTTTTGATATTTTTTACCCTCTTAGTCTGTCATTTCATTCCTTTTTGCTTTTTTACTTGGCTTACTAACTGTTTCAATGCAGATAATTATTTATCTGAAGGATGATGAACGGTTAAACAGAAATTGGTTGGCTTTGGCCTCGTACCCAGCTCCCCACTCAAGAGACTGCTGGTCCTGCCCCAATACTTTCCTGGTGTTTGGATCATGCTGCCTTCCGTCAGGTCCTTTGGCACATGATTACTTAATATTTCTCCACCTTCTTCTGGCAGGATTCCCTTCAATGAAGATCCCAACCCCAATACTCACTCATCAGGACCCTCAACCCCTCTGAAAAACCAAACTTATTCCTTTTCACCTTCCAAGTCCTACAGTCGACAGTCCTCTTCTTCTGACACAGATTTGAGTTTGACACCCAAAACTGGTAAGGCGCTTCCACCCACCTTTTCTTTTTCTTTTTTTTTTTTTTTTTTCGGATTTGTTTCTGTTCCTTATTAGCTTTCCATCCAAGCCTTTTCTCCTGTTTTTGGCATTTAAGTTAAAAGATAATGTGAATACTGATCATTTTCAGTTACTACAATTAAAATACGAAATTTTTATATAGTTCAGAAATTAATTGTGTTCAGAGATCTACATTTTGATGATTTAATCATAGTGTAGATATGAAGTCCAGGATTTATTTTCGCATGTAGATAATTTTTCATTTCATGCACAAATTAAGAGGAATAACATCTTAAAGCATTTAAATAGGAAGTACCACTAGTAGGTTGTAATCAAATCCTCATGCAGTATAAGCATTGTAAATTCATTGTTTCTATTTCTGAATTTAATTCTGAGTTTATTATGAAAAAAATATTAAGAGCAATTAGAATGGTTATTATGGAGTACATATATCTATTAACTTCTTGTTATTTAAAATGTTTGGTTTTTCTAGTCTTACTCTAGATTAGAAAATAGCAGTTTTGTTTTACTTATTCTTGCATATTTCTTAATGTATGAAATTTATTTTTTTCCCTCTACTCTGTGTGTTTTGATAATCTTTTGAGTTTTTATGAATGTTTTATGACAAAAAAATTGATAAAAAATTTAATTAGTTCCTTACTCCATAAAATAGAATTAACTTATTTTATCATTACATTATTATTTTCAAGAAAAATAGAAAATAAATAAAATGTTTAAAAATTAATAGTTTGCAATTTTTTGTAAATAATATTTTGGTCTGACAGTTTTCTTGCCAGATTGATTAAAACATTTTTGCATAGCTCTTGTTTGTGTTTTTTATTTATCTTTAATAACTTTATTGTTGTATTAGACAAGATATTTATAAAATGACCCCACTTTTTATGAAGGCAATGAAAAGAAATCTTAATTCTAGAACCAGTGCTACTTCCAAAGCAAAGAAAGGATGTTAAAAAAAAAAAAAGCCTGCAGATTTAATATCTATTTTTACAAATGTCATAAAATATAAAGAAGATAATTATGAATACCCAATTCTTTGAAAAGAATACTTTATTTTTACATATACGTAATTATGAGTAACATCTAAAAATAATTGCTATTTTATAGTAATGGATGCGTTGGCATGTGACATCTTAACCATATTCATGTCATAAAATTAAACCATTGAAATTGTAGTGGGCTTTCTTTTTCTTTTTTTTTTTTAATGAAGAATGAGATTCTGGCCTTGAATTCATAACAATCAAAACAAGAAAGACTTAGGGTAGTATTTGAAGATTGCCTTAAGTTTTCTTAATAGTTTTGAGGCTTTGTCCACTGGCTGTTTTTTTGTGTATCCTAGGCCACTTTTAAATGATCTTATCTTTATTTTCCTTTGCCATACCACAGATAAATCTTTAAAAGCATGTATTCCCTTGGTCTTTCTGTTTCTTTTTCTTTAATTCACCGTAAAGGCCAAGCCTAAAGAAGATTGTCAACTAATTCAATTAACTGAATCAGACTACTCTTCTGTTAGCTTTCTAGTAGGCAGTCAGTTGTATTATCAAATGAAAAATTCTTTTGCATCTTCTCTAGCTCCAAATTTTTAGTTTTTAAAAGCTCATTTATAAGAGGCTATATTATACTCATGTAATTCTATATTTATAAGCTACCTCTAAATACATTGTTTTGCCTATAATTATTCACGACCTCAGTAGCATATTTATAGGATATTAGCCATTTTTAGGCCTTTGGCTTTATCATGAGTCCCTGAATATCTTCGAACACTCCGTAGGAGCATTCCCATTTCTTGTGAAGATGTAAAACGGCAAAATTATGATTTTTCTAAAATGTCTAAAGTGGCAATTCAGCATGTATTTCATGATTCTCTGCCTTCTAATTTACCTATATACAAAGTCAATCTCTGGAGAAATAGTGAGAATAGATAGATAAGCTGATTATGATTGATTTAGTATATGTAAACTAGGGAGCCAAAAATAAAGTTAATAAACTTAGACTGAGAAAGTTGTTTTTTTTCCGTTTGTAGTTAAAGCTATCATCTGTTTTTCAGATAGGTTGTGTTTTTAAAAAAATTCATATTTATTTCTAATTCTAATTTTTGACATTTTACTTTTTTTTTCATATTTTTTTCCAAGTACTCAACTAGTCATAGTAGAATTTTAGAATGTTGATAGGATATTGATTGAACACCTAACTCAAGCTAATTTTTACTTTTTCTAGTCATACTTAGCCTTTTATAGTTGTTGTGATCCAGAAGGTATTTAGCTTTTAGGGTACTCAGATCTTTGTAAATGCAAACAGTAATATGGTTGGATTTGAGTATTTAAAATTTTAGAGGAAAAAGAAAAAGCATTAACATACACCTTGAAGCTGGACAGAAAGAAGTTAATATTTATTTAAAATTAATAATGGCAACTCCTTAATGTGGTACTGTTTCATTTTTTAATGAATATTCAGTTTAAATATTTACAAGGTATATGTTCTAGTAACATATGAAGAGCTCTACTTTACCATTTTAACTTTATATTTGAGGCAGCAAGTTTCTGGCTTAAAAAATTTGTAAAATGTGATACATTTTAACCTTATACATTCTTAAGCAAAAAAAGACAGGTAATTTAAGTGTTTTTAAGAAATCAACTAAAGCTGATTTGAATGGCATAAAATCTTATGTTAGTGATTTAAAAAATTTTAATGAATGCAAAGTTTGTAAAGGTTTTGTTACATTTCAGACTATGCCTTTTATTTATATTATGTTGGATAGATAGCCTTGCTAATGACTTCATATGCTTAGTGTAATTTGTGTATGCATTTTAAAATTCATTTTTACTGTTATGTTTTGCTTCATCATTGCTTTCCTTATCTTGCATTTTCTGATCATCTTCTGAATCTGCATCTTTTCTCTGCTAATTTCCTCCACAGCACCTTACCCACAGGGGCCTAGGATTTACCTGTGTCCCAGCTCCCCCTCTCTCTCTTGTGGTTCCCTTCATCTTAAAAAGTCCTGTCTCCTCCTGTCGGAATCTAGCCTTTCCCCTCATCATTCTAGCCTTGTCAGCCCAGTTCTGAGGAAAAGTGTTTCTTTCAGTGAAGAGCTGTTCCTGGCTGCTTCTGGTAGGATCACATTATGTCAGCTTTTTAATCCCTTTATTTTGAATCATCTTTGAAAAAAATTATTTCATACTACAAAGAAGTAGTGGGTATTTTACATAGGATGTACTTATTTTTCTTATTGGCAGACAGATTTTAATGATTAGAATTATCATGAGGACATGATTGAGGATTACTTGTTGGATAACTATGAATATTCTGCTAAAATTATATGTTAAAAAGTTATATGTCTAAGGACATAGATATGCATATTTCCAATAATTAATAGGTTTTCATTTACTAGAGTTTCTGTTTTAGATGCTTTACTTTCTTTCCCTTCACACCAACTCTATTCACGTTGGACCTGTGTCATCATAGTGCTAAACCATACAGTTACATGAATAAATTATTCTGTTTGAATCAGTTTAAGTCTCATTTTGGTAATATTCTTTCATTATCCAATTTTTTTTCTGTCCATTGCTTTAATTTTCAAATTATTATGCTGTATTTTCTGATATTTCATTTATCTCTACAAAGTTACATTTTATTTTATGGCTTTCAATATGCTGCATATAAAGATCTTAGTTTCATTTCTATGTTTAGTATTGTATAGTCTCTAAAAATCATGTTTAGGTTACTACAAGAAAAATAAATTTTCTTTAAAAAAAAAAATGGGACTATACACATGCTAACTCTTGTTTCCTTATCCAAGAACAGCTAAAAATTTGAAAGTAAATTAGTTCCTTTTTAAAGTCATTATAGTAAACCTGACTGTATGTATCTTCAGTGCGAAAGGGTGGGATCGAACTATTAACTCTAGTCGGTAGTGGAAATGGCTTCTCACCTGTCCCCTGCTTTCTATAACTCTTTGACCATAGTTGGTCTGTTAGTATTATCAAAAGAATAAAATCAGGTAGCAAAGAAATTTAAAATTAAGTCTTTAAAAAATACACCTAAGAGCTTGGGCAATATAATCCATCCATAACTATGTACATTTGTGATGTGTTTATTATATGTTTTGTGGTTTTTAGTTTTTTAAAAAAATTTTATGTTGACTTTTGCAAGTGAGTGTGGAAAACTATGGATATTAATACTGTTTTGTCATGACTGTTATGTTTAAGAATGGGAAATGATCAGAAAATAGATTTGACTATTTCAAAATTGCCTAAAATTCATGCTCTTTAGAGAATTTTGGAATATTCTAAGGAAGCACAGCTAGTGCTTTTCCTCTGTATATTTACTTTTAAACAAACATTTAATGTTTCTCTTATTTTAGTATTCTTAAATTGTTAGCATAAGCAATTGGTATTATCTTGATTATTATTTATTAGAAGACTCAACTTTAAAAAATGAATATTATACAAAAATTCAACACCTTAACATAATTTTAAAGTAATTTTTAGAATGAAATAAGTCTAAAACTAGCTCTGATCAGTATATCTTTAACATACTGCTTCTAAAATAAATTGTGTGACTAAAATAGAGTAAATATGCGCTTAGTTGCTGTCCCAAATACTTTAAATGTTTGAATCATTTTAACTCATGATATTTATAAAGATGAATGCAATTAATCTTTGTTTCTATAGCTGTTTTTTTTTGGTTATTTATGTACTGCTGTTCTGTAGGAATGGGAAGTGGTAGTGCTGGAAAAGAAGGGGGGCCATTTAAAGCTCTTTTAAGACAACAGACTCAGTCAGCATTGGAACAGAGGGTAAGGTCACTCAAGATCCTTTATCCTTAACACTGTTAATGTGATTTTATTATTGTGCTTCCATGTACTTATAACTTATTTCCATACAGATTTTGGTCATGTATAGGTATTGTAACTTCAAAGTCCAGTGTGTATTTAAGGTATCGCAAAGTAATTTGTTTATGAATAATTACTTTTAATTTGGAATAATTCTATAACTATTTTTGTTTTGTTTTCTAGTCTTTTATTAGAAATAGTGTATTTGGAAATATTCATTGAGTGATGAAATCATTTCTAATTTTACATTAAAGTTATCTAAAAGGAAATAATATTTTTTTCAGAAAAGTATTTTAGTTTATTTTATTAAAAATAATTCTTTAGTATATTAATATATCTATTTGCTGAGATTATTTTTATCACTGACCAATCTCCTAGGGGTAAGAAATGCATAGATTCCATATTTCTACAGATTAACATAAATAATGTAGTTGTTCAGTATGTGTGTATATCTCTTTCCATTATTATAAGTGTAATGCTTTATTAAATACGTTAAATGGGAGAATGAAGAGTTAAAGTTTTTGGATGATTTTTCTCTTTTTATGTTTTATGTTTGTATAAACTTCATTGCTAAGGGAGGATCGCCTCATAGGTTCTGTAGAAGGCGGGTATGTTTCTGAACATGTGTGATATAGCCTATGTCCTGTATCGGTAGCTTTTCTGGTTTTAATCTTGGTCATTTAAATTTTATTTAAGCTTTTAACAAATGTTGCCAGCTTTTTTTTCTTTTCGTAATGCAAAGTTTTTTTTTTTTAATTTAATAGCACTGAGGCTCATTTTTTTCTACTTAACTAATATAGTGCATGATTTTATGTCATGTCAGTTATTTTAAGGCACAGTTTCATAGCTCTCATTATGTCTGATTTGGAAGTTATAAGCATTTACAGAATTTTCTTTTACAAGCTCTATTTGATACTAGCATTAAAAAAAAAAGATGAAATAACAACTACTTGCATTCCTTTTCAATGGAAGAGAACCTATAAATTCATCAGGTATAATAATAGACTAGAGATTAAAATCAACTCTTTAACTTAGTGTTTTAACCAGAAATGACAAGAAGCCAGCTGATAAGATTTACTCAGAGTCTAGGCTGCCTTGAACTCAGTTTTTCACCTAAAACATGGAGATGATAGTACCTCCCTCTTAGGGTAAGGGAAAGATTATGAAGCATAGTTTTAAGATGCTTTGCACAGGGCTGGCGTATTGGGAGCACTCCATAGTAGTCGCTGGTGATGGTGGGAGCGATGGGTCTGTAATCAGTCAGCTGTAGGGATCAGCAGTAGCTGGTCTGAGAAGGTTGTCTGGAGACGTAGTTTGGGTTAAATAACAGTGCCATTTTTATTTACTCTAGGTTACATTTTTTTGTGTTAAAGTGAGTGGAAGTGCTGCTGGGAGGAACTGGGGACATGGAGTACAGAGGGATAGATAGCAGAGTGGGCCTCTGCCTGTTTAGGCAGCCATTCTCCTTTTTCTGCTGTGATCACTGTAGTGTGACGCTGTCCCTCTTGTCGCTTTACCTCATCTTCTGAAATTTGGAGATAAGCGTCAAAGAATCCCAAATAGAGAAATCATTTAGGTTTATTTTTTTCATACTTAATCTAAAATCTTATATGCAGATGTTTTTCAATATGTGAATTTACCCAATTTATTTCTCAGTTTTAGAAAGAAGTACTAATTTCCATTTAGCTTACAGAAATTTTATTTTCAGTGTCTTTTGTCCAGGATATTTGAAATGTTTAGGTATGAAGAGTAAATGTGAAGTGCATTTTTATACTATGCCTCAATGTTTTGAGGACATTTTAAAACTTCAGTGTTCTTAAAATTGAAAAAAAATAGATTTAACTTATTAAGTAAAATACTCAAATTTCTAATAATATAAGCTTATCTGTACATTTCTCATTTAAAGCTTACATTAAAAAAATTCAGATGACAATAAGGAAGCATTTTGACTAAACATTTTATAATAACATTTAAGTGAAATTTCCCTTCCGTTTTCTCCCTTCTCTTCCTTCTCCTTTGCCTATCAGCTGGGCCAAACCTACCCACTTCCACAGACTGTTTTATTTTATTTTATTTTTTTTTACATAGTCTACATATTCTTACCCTTGTTAATTGAAAGATGATTTTTAAATTCTAGCAGAATTTCTAAACGTGTATGTGTGTATGTGTTTACACACATACACGTATATATTTTATACTGTGTCATTATGGGTCGCTGAGGTATGCAGGACTGTGTGCCTTGGTGCTGAATGACTCCGAGTGGCAATGCTTTGTGAATTATGTTTTGGGAGTTCATATTCTCTGTGCTTTAAGTGCGTATTCTCTAGTCAGTAATCTTGCTGCTTTTCATGTACCTGCTTCTAGTAGATTCTGTAGCTCTTTATCTTCTGTCTTTTATTTACTGCATTCTACTGTGGTCTAGAAAAAAAAAAAGATACTGATAGATTTTAGAATATGCCCCTAAAGTTACATATTTATAATTACTTTATGCCAGTCTATGAATATGATCTGTGGGGATCTCTTATGAATAAAGTATATAAACTTTAGTACTTGGAACTGTAACAGTTCTTTTTACCGCTGAGAGCCCTATTTTGTTGATTTTCCAGTTCTTAGTTAGATTCTGAAGAACTGAGGCTACTGGTAAGTGACTTCTGGGTAAGTGAGCTACATTAATCTTGTAGCCCGACAGGTCAGATGCATACTTGGTTTCCCTGACCCGCATCCAGTTTGCGAGAGGTGAGCGGGCTCACATTGGGCAGCTGTAGGCGCTCCCCTTTATCCTGGGTACTATTCCATTGGATTTCCTTTCTCTGCCATTTCTCTCTTGCATGCTTCTCTTTGTCTCTAAATTGACAAGATTGGAAGAACATGTGGAATTGTATTTCTTACCCAGCTGTCACCTACATACCTCCCCCCTTTCCTTAATATATATTTATGAACTTACATTTTCTCCTACTGCCTTGATGTTGATAGTGTAAATAATCTCACATATCGATTCTCTACCCACCTCAATTTGTTATTTCCCTTATCTTCACCTTTCTACGTGCCTCTTAACCCACAAGGCTTGCCTTCTCACTCTCCCTCCCTCTGTTCCACATTCTTGTAGATCAGTTGCCCTAGGCCTTCAGAGTCTGGAATTGGGTGTGTATATGAGGGGGCGTCTACCTCACTGAGAAGTAGACATGGGGTAAACGGGTCAGGGGAATCTCCTCGTCTCATTCTGAAGTTGCATCAGAGGGAGATTGAGAGGAAGGAAATGTGTGTTCAGATATCTCAAATTGGAACTCAAGAACATTTTTCTCATTGAGAATTGATATAAGGAGCGCTTGGATTCTGTATGACGTGATATATGTGGGTAAATGGATTCAGAGCTCTAAACATCTCAGCAAACTTAATTACAAAGCATGTGTAATGTATAATTGGTAGCCTATTGTTAAGGGATAGAATTCACTTCCTTATGACAAGCTTTATAACAAGCAAATCTTTAGTACTTTACACACGGTCAGTTGTATTTTTCCCCTATTCTTTCTACTAGGAATTTCCATTTTTTACCTTGACGGCGTTTCCTCCTGGATTTCTTGTGCATGTTGGGGGTGTTGTTAGTGCACGTTCTGTGAAGCTTTTGGATCGTATCCACAATCCTGGTATGTCTTTTAAAAGTTTGTTTTCAATGTTTTATTTGCTTAGATTATGATTATTAAAAGAGATTTTTATAATTGTTTTAAGTCAAATCTATCTAAAAGAGAAATGAAAAAGAATATAAACTGATACATGTTGCTTTAAAATATTTGCAGTAACCTTAATTAAAAATAATCAAACTAAGTAGAAGTATAATTTAGTTCCTTTTTTATACAAAACAAGCAAACAAATCTTGATTCATTTTTGGCCAATGTATCACTTTGAGGGAATCCTTAAGTAACTTTTAGCCACCTATTTTCTTTGACCTAGGTAGCTAACAAATTTTACAATTTGACCATTGTGGCCATTAACCTAAGGTGTTAATTCTTTTTACTAGCAATAAGTATAGATTATTTGAGTCACTTCCTTATTCCTAAAAGAAGTATTCTTTTAAAACGTAATTGTAAACATTGTGTAGAGTATTTAAGAATTAAAAAAAAAACAACTGTCTGGCTCCTCGTTTTCTTTTATGTAGTTCTTTGATCTGTATATAAGTGAACAAATAAGAATAGTAAGTTGCTCCCTTCTTTAAAACATGGGCCCATGATTATAAAATAAGCATCAAAGTCTCAGTAATTTCGGGCCCTTGGATTAGAAATGCTTTGATGATTTTTCTAAATCTAAAATAAGCGTGATAATTGTGGTAGGAACTTTTTGTATGGAATATGTTCTTTCATCTCTGATGGATGAGATGCCCAATAACTTGCTCGAGTCACTTATGATTTTAATGACATGCTTTAAACCTGATGTTATATTAGCATTTTTATTTGGCATATGTACATGTATATTTTTGAAAATTTGAAATTGTTACTTCTGATAACCTCTTCCTGAGGCTTATACAGACAGCTATAAAAAGTGTAAATTACTTTGAGATTATTGCATGCAGAACATTGCAGATAATGATTTTGAGTATTCTTTTAAATTAGAAAAAAAAATTTAACGTCTGCCCTGTGGTTTGATGTCATTTGAGTTAGTAATAAAAGAAAAACAGAATAGAATTTTTCTAGACCCTGAACAAGATTTCAGAAAAGCTAGGATTATTTGACTCTAAAGCTGACCAAGTACATCTTTTAAGCATCAGCCTTCTCTTTCTTCTATAGTTTATTATTTTTTTCCCCTTTTTATTTTTCTGGTCAATTTAAGATCTTTTCTTCATGTAGTATTTGTATATTCTGCAGTAATTCAAGGCAAATTTAGACTGATGCCAGTTAAATGTATTGAGACCTTGAAGACTACTTCCATATCTTTGTGTTTAGGAACTTGAATGATTTGGAAAGTAAAAGGAAATACTGGGTTAAGATATCTGACATTAACTGTGACTTGTGTTTCTATGGACCACTGACTCAAATATTTTGATAGATGGCATCCATTGATAGAACAACTTCAAAAATTGTTTCAGGAATATATTCAATTATTGGTGATGTCTCCAGTTTACTGAAAACATTTTGATTTTATTGTTCCTTCCAGGTACTCTGAGTAAGCTGTAGAGTCTGGGAGGTCACATAAATAAGCTTAAGTAGAAAGCTATATTTAAAATCGTATTACCTTTTTTTAAAAAAACTGTTTTGTGGAATTTATCATACTTGCCAGTTATTCTAGCTATGTAAGAAATGTAAGAATTCCGGCCCAGGGAATAAAATAAGGAATCCTTATTAAAGAATACATTTTGTGCATTGTAATTACCAGATCATCCATTCTCTTCCTTTCCTTCCCTTTCAGAATATTTTTTCAATTCACACATAGAAATCCTCAGTTACTGATGGATTGTTTTCCAAATGATCATTTATATATATATATATGTGTATATATATATATATATATATATATATAAATGCTTTTAATGGTATATAAGTTATATTTTAATTTTGTTTTATTTTCAGTTAAATACAAATCAATTATATATTCTAACGGTTCCAATATTACATTATTTTGATTTAAATATCACATTCTTTGTGTTGCTTTATATATGTATTATGCGTTAAAAAGGAACATTTTCTTAAGAACATTTTATTAATCTTCCAGCCCTTTAAATATTTATGAAAACATTTTCATTTGTTGAAAAAAGCTGAATGTTAAAACAAAACTCTAGATTAGCATCTACCATAATGATGATGTATTAATTTTATGACACTGAGTTAGTTACTCTGCCGAGAGAAACTTAGGGTGGATTGAGATTCATGTGCTAATGTTAAAAGTGCTGTATTTGCACTCTCAAATGAATCTTGGAGTTATTTTTTGACTAGTGAACATAGGAAATTTGCATTTCACACTAAGGGTAGAAGGAAGAAATCTTATTTTAAAACCATTACCACCTGCTTAATTCTATGGGTTATCACTTTGGAGTTATTTCTTTTATAATTTTCTCTTCTATTAAATATTAAGCAAACAAGATCATATAACAAAGGAAAGAACGGAGTGGTTTTTAAAATCAAGGAAATTATCTTAAATAATTAGACTTTAGTTAATGTTAGATTATGATAGCATGCTCCTTCTACTCTTTCTATTTCTACTTCTTATTAACTCTGCTATCTGTGTCTTTCCAGTTCCTGTCGAGTGGTGTTGTCAATTGTGTTCTTGTTTGTAGTGTTTCTTGATTTTTTTCCCTACTATTCTGCACCTAAAACTGATCTACTAATTTGCTGTTTTGAACTCAGCCTTTGTCGGAATTATGGGTAACACAAGATCTTACAAACTGCTAGACTGGAATAGTTTCAATTCAGGTATTTTAATGGTCATTCAGTACTACATATGCTGACAAAAATTATGGCAGCTCAGTGAAGTTTTTAGAAATGTTTTAGATTAAATAGGATTAATGTCAATTTAGTTATATAATACATTTTTCATTACATATGTTATAACTCTTGTAATTTCCAATGACATGCAAATATAAAAATGTGTTAACTAAAATGAATTAAAACCATAGAAATACTATAAATTATGAATGGCTTTTGTTAGGTGATTAACTTTCAGAACAATAATTTTAAGTTATATTTATTACATCTTGGACACTTTTTTCATATCAGGTAAATGGCACAGGCATTAACCTTATGATTAAGGAAATATTAATTGTTAAATGTAATTATTAAATGACTAGCTTGATAATATTAGGTATGTCTAAACTTCATTTTAGATTTGGATATAATATATTTAGTGTTCTATAAATACTATAAAAGTATAACTGTTACCATTTTTATATGTAATTCTAGAAGTGTTCCAAAATTTGGTAAGTAAGAACAGTTTTAGGGGGATTAACAGCTATCATAAGCTTTCCTCCTTCCCCTTCCATGTGAGAATATAAATTTTTTAAAAGTAATTTTACATATGGATACTGTTTGTACTTTTAAATAAACTAAACTAAGGTGACTTTACGCTGATGATGTGTTTTAGAGGCAAAGCCATTTCATTTTTCTTTTTGGTAAATACATATTCTCTTAGTAATACAAATATCCAAATTTTTATGTCATTTATATATTAAAATTAAATTATAGAACCATCTTGATTCAGAATCAGAAGCTGTTATTTTGGTAAAGAACCTTTTCCAGTTCTTTGTGTCAGAAAATATATTTACAGAAAAACAAAAACACCCAGAGAAGCTTAGCATTTAAGATAATATCCCATAATCTTTTCAATATTGTAAACCATTTTTGTTCTTAGGAGTACAGGATGTAAGTTCTGATGTAAGTAACACATGTTTGACTGTGAAGTAACTCATGTTTATCATGCAGATTTACCTAATTTAGTCGAGGAAATAATCTGATCTGGTCCAATCCTTGCAGATTTAGACGGACAACAGTTGGTAAATCTTTAGGGAAATTACCTCTGTTTCCGATCTAAGTTTTTGACAGCGTATTCTCACATTGATTAGAATTAAAACAATCATTTTTACTGTAATGCTGTATATTTGGTTTTTAGTAAGAAGTTAAAAATACCCTGCTGGATTGGTTTAATAAAAATGAGAATATATCTTATAAACGTTAGGCAGATTAAGTGTAGTGGCAAGAGAAAAAGGTTTATTATGTAAGAAAGGGACATTGAGAGCAGACTAATTAAAAATTAAAGGAGCTGAAACCTTGTCAGGGCAAAGATATTTAGGGTGAGATGTGTATTAGTCAGATGATAGAACAGTCCTGGGAAGTGAAGAGGCAAAAGTTAAATCTTATAGACACATTAAAGGCTTTTTTCTCGGGTAAGCAGAACTATAGCATTTGGCAAGGAGAAACATGGTCGAAGAAGCAGTATATCTTGCCATCATTTAAAACAAGTCAGGTAGTTGAGTGTGTGATTAAAAAAAGTTAGGTATAAATTATAGAATATTAAAAGAACAGACAAGATGACTGTCAGTTACTGTCCTCATAGTTCTATGGTTTTGATTGAGGTATTAGAATCATTATGGTAATGGTACCTATTCAGAAATCAGGCAGATTTTGATAGTAGTTTAGGAAAAATAACTTGAAGATCATGAAAAAAAATGTGATATATCTGATAAATATATTAAAATTATTTATGTATTCTTCTCTGTAATTAGGGAATACTGCTGTCCTGTATTACCATAGAGAACCAAGAATTGACTGTGTCAGTAAGAAAATTGTTGATAGAGTTTTTATTAATGCTAGAAATTGTTCATCCACACTGTATTTCCTGGATTCTCTAATCCCATGTATTATATAATGTATCATCAATTTAATAATAGCCTCCCAAGCGCAAAGAGAAAGAAACACCACCACATTAAATATACTTATTAATTGTTAGACATTCTTATTTCACAGACATGAAAATGTGGAAAGATATAGGAAAACATTTCATATTACACAATATTTCATGAAATATGATATGCAAAAGTTTACTAGAATTTATTTTGTGCCCTGCAATTTGCTAGATAATAGATGTGCAAAGACGCCAGTCCTCCTGTTTTCACGAAGCTCATATTCTGGGATGATAGAAAAATACGTAAATGGTTTAATGAGTCACTGGTATGGTGTGATATAAGATACAGTGTTAAGGCATGGTTAACTCTGTGTGTCAGGGAAGCTTCTAGAGGTGGTAATTCTTGAGCTCAGTTTTTAAGGGGTATATAGGAGATTCACATACATAGATTTATATTTCTGACAGTGTATTTGGGCCATGTTAATGTATTTCCTTTGAATGTAATTCTGAAACTTGCAGCATTTGCAAAATAATACCCTAGCCACTACTCGTTTGATGATGTTAGTTACTTCATACTTATTAAGTTGTTTGCCATTAAGTATAAAATGTTATATAAAATGTTAGTTTAGCTTTTTTTTCTGTTGCCTTCTCTCCTGCTTTGCTATCTTAGTTTGTGTTAACTACAAACTAAAATTGTAATTAAAATTGTAATACTCAATATATATCGATAACAAAAGATGAATACAAGGCACGTTTGATTTCTGCAATTATAAGAGGTGCTCAAAGTGGTTACCATCAGTGTAATTTTAATATAGTTTTTTTCTTTCTTAAAATGTGTATACGTTTTTTGGGCACCCTCTGTATTTTTATAGAGCAGAAGGAAAGGAACTCAATATTTGAATATTTATTTAGACATTATTACTTATTTACATTAGTACTTACTATGTATTTAAAAAATATTACTTGCTTCTTATGTTTCTGGCTTAGTAACAGACTTTGAGAAAGACAAGAGGCATCTTGCTGCTAGGAAGGAAGATGCAGCATTTGCAAACTGTATGTGTGACATGCCAGCAACAGGGGGTGCACAGGAAAGAATAAGACAGAGTGGCCAGTGGTCACATTTGTGTTGGATCATTGACTAGGATGGACAAGGGACTTAAAAGCTGCAAGACTAGAGACAGGGAAATAAGTTAGCAGAGCACAATAGGTCTGGCCAGGTAAGTGACCGAGGGTTTGGTGGTAACAGGAGAGCTAAAGTTTATAGCACACTTACTGTGTACCAGGTACTCTTTCTTCGAAGTTCTTTATGGTAGGAGGTCATTTAATCCTCAAAACACAAACCTGAGGTAGGCACTGTTCCCGTTTTGTAGATGAGCAAACTGAAACAGAGTTTTCCAAGGTCAAATTCTAAGTGGCTGAGCCACGATTGAACCTTACTGCTCTGGCTTCAGGACCTACACTCTTCACCATAAATTTCCAAAATATTTAGGATGTAAAGTCAGCAAGGCTTGGTAATTAGTAGAATGTGGTGAGGGTAACAGGCTTTTGGTGATTTTTAGCTGAGAGTAAGAGAAAGACAGATCATGATTACCCTGCATTCAAGTATATTTGAAAGTTGAGTTGTAAAAAATTCTTTGAGTAAATTTTAATAGTCCTAGTTAGTAGTTTCTCAGATGGCTATGATCTTTTTTTCTTCTTCTGCATTTACCACTCAAAGTATTTTTTAATAGCTCACACAAATATCTTTAATTAGTAATAGTCTTTAGTGTAGTTGGGGAAAATTTATTGTTTTGTCTTTGTATTGGATGAATGTCAATTTAGATATTTTTTCAGGAAGTGACAAGAGGAAATATAGTTATATAATTGTTTGAAAAGTACTCATACTGTGAGTCAGGAGATGTTTAAGGAAATATTTATGGAATATACATGTCAGTCTGATCATCCAAAAAATTTGTTTTTCAGTTTTAAGTAGAAGCCTTTTTTATTCAGTGGATATTCATGGAGTGCCAGCCATGTCTGGAGCAGTCAGTGTTGAGGATTGAGAACGCCATTGTTCAGTCAGGCAGACATCCTGTTTACACAATAGTCTAGGCTGTTTTTTACACTATTTCACTGTGTGTGCGTGTGTGTGTGTTAGTTAAATGGAGATAGGTGATAGGCTTTCTTGGCATTTGAATTCTACTGATGATCTTGGCAATTACTCTTTATACTAAATCTGAGAGGTACACACAAGCAGATGTGAAAACTAAGCCTAAAGTACTTAAGAAGCTTTTAGCTTTTAGTGTTTTAATAAGGTTTTCAGGAGGTAGATATGCACAATTACAGAAGGCATAAATATAGCATGTAGGCCGTGTGAACTATTTTTATATATAAAGTAACATAAATGTATATGTAATGTTCTCTCTATATAATGTAACTAGATATTCATTACTACCCATTCTTTACTATCTATAAAAAAATCCGATATGTAATCTCCCTTAATTGTGAAATTTTACTCTTTGTATATATAAAATGTAACTGGATATTCATTACATTATTATAATGTAACATGTAAATGAAATATAGTGTTCTCTATATATAATGTAACTAATGTCCAGTTACATTATATATAAAGGGTGAAATATCACAAAAAAGGAGAAGATTACATATCTGGATTTTTTTACAAATAGTAAAGAACTCCAGTTTGGTCCAACATGGATTATATCCCAGCTACCATCCTCACATCCCAAATTACTGAACCTTGTGTGCTTTGAATTTGCACATCCCTCTCTCTGTAACAAGGCTCTTCTTTCTGGTCTGATACTGAATCCCCACCCAGTTTGAGGTTGTAGACTCCTTTGAACCTGAACTCTCTAATTTCTATTTCATTAGGGGAAGTCTATCTTCTTCAAAGATTGTTTCGGGTTAGAATATTACTTTCAGGTATTGGAGAATGTAGCTTTTTATGCTGTCAACATGTTAGAATATCATTGTATTACAGGCCTTAATTTGATTCTGCCTAACAATTTATCCCCTCTTGTTCATTTCAAAATTAGATTGAATAACTGTCCATTTCCTTCTTTCTTTCAACCAGATTAAAAGATTCTCAAGGGCAGAGTTATTTTCTTCCAGAGCTATGTAAAATAGAACTGAGTTGAACAATTCAGGTAGTCAGTGTTTTTTAGTTGCGATTGCGGGTTACCTAAAACCTCAAAGGGATTGAGTTTATAATAATATAAAGGCATATTACATTGAGTTGTTCACTTCTTTACTTGCTGAAATACGATAAGCTGTTACTATTGTTTTAGGAATCTTGACCAGTTTCACCTGCATTTCAGAAACAAGATAAAATGCTAAAAGGATGGCAAGATATCAAGCTCTGGCCATGCTCTAGAAAAGTAACAGTAGTAAAATAAATTAATTGTGATGTCAACCCAAGTGTGCAAGTATTGCCCCTAAAAGAGGCATCAGTGAGGCACTAATCTAGAGCTCAGTTCATGCCTACAATTAAAAGGATATATTAAAAGATTTGTGATATTATCTATGAAGAGTTTTGACCCGTAGAAGAAAAACATAAAATAGCATTGAAATATAGTTTGTATAATAAATGAACTTTAATATCTCCTAAAACAACATCTTTATAATTACAAATAATTCTGTAGATTTGGGAGGAGCATGGTATTTAAAGTGAAAGTATTGTTTTCTTAACATCTCTGAAATGTTATCAATTGTGACGCTCACGTCTCAGGTGTATATCCTCCAAATGGCTAAATTTTCACTAGTTTCATGTATGGCTGCTATAAAATTTTAAACCAGATTCTTTGTTTTGCCTTTTATATAAGTAGGGTAGAGCCTCAGTTTTGACTTACATAGGGTGAATAAAAGAATTCAATTTCACTAGTGTGAATCCTTTAAGAATGTAGTATGCAATTTTTAAGCTTTTAAAATTCCATTATAGGGATTAACTACTATGATCATTTCTGAATTTTCAGTTGTAATAAGTTAGGGTGAATCATAAAATTACTATTTGAAAATTCTCCAGCTCATCTCTGGCATAAATATGATATCAATGTTGAAGATAAATTTAGTTGTTTTGATATTAAATAAATTGATTAACATTAATTTTATTTTAATTACACAACCCCTAAATTAAATAGCCAAAAAAATTCATCCTTCAGGCTTTTTGCTCAGTTGTAGATAATTATTGTTAATCCAATGACTAGTCTGTGATGAAGTGCTCCCTACTGTATGCTTGCCTTGCTTTCACCTAGAACCTAGGGCCATTACTTTCTGTAACCATTTCAGTGAGCTGCCATAGTTTTCAGTCTGTACTGTCACCTGATCCAAGCATGCGCCAAAATATCCACTGTTTCTGGCTCCTGTCTGCTGAATCTGCTTTGCAAAACCCTTCGTTCTTGAGCTTTTGCTTTAGCGAATACCAAATTTAAAAAGTTCTTGGAGTGTGGACATATGCCATTTGCTTCCTTAGCTCCCATGTTATGTAACTCAGCTTTTATTAAACCTGTAAATAAATACAACAGCGGCATCCCCATGTGCAACTGTGTGGCTCGTGTGTCAAAATAAAGGCTGCTTGTGACCTTGTCAGAAGAATACGAATGCTCCACTGTGCTGCATTCAGCTTTTTTTTCTTTAATCAGCCACCTATTTTTTCCATAGTGTTTGATTTGATTATCTGATTATTTTTATGTGTTATACCAAGGTAAGTTTGATGTAAATAAACTTTGTATTCTATGTGATTACATGTATCTCATAATAATTACTATTACATACATTTCAGTTGAGACATGCTGGCCATTTAAAAATAAATATACCTTGAACTTAAACTAAGTGGCTTCCTCCATTTTTCGTTAATTTGAAAATAATGTTATGGATCACTTATTGTAAAATTCATTTTTAAAACAGAAAAGCTACAACGTATTACTTGTGGCACAGATGTAGGCACACCTAATGTGAGAAAATCTATTTTTATAAAAAGAGTATACAATTGTCTGTTTTAGCAAATAATATTTTAAACTTCCAGAATCATTTAAAAAAGTAAATAGCAGACCCTACTAGTGCATTTGAGAAAAGTTATGACTTTACATCGTTTTTCAGAAAAATAGCTGTTTTCTAAACTGATGACTATTTCCATTATTTATGATATCTATTTTCAAAGCATCAAATAATTTGATAATTTGAGCAACTTCTTGAATAATAGTTTGTTTTACAACCTAAAAATTCCCTATTAGGAAAAGATGTTGTTAAATAGATGTCCAAATTGGTCTAGAAACATGTATGTCTAGATTAAAAGAAAAAGAGAATGGATTTGAAGGTCTATTTATGCTGTTAACGTCTGCAATTTTAGTTAGGAATATGAAGAAATTTTTTAACATACTAGCGTATGTGCAAAACAGGGCCCCCTAATTGCCTCACCCGTTTCTGACTTCATAATATTGATAGCTAACACCATATTGTAGTCTTTTCTATTTCTCTTCCTTCTTTATTTTGTCTCCTACTTTGATCTTTTCCTCAGTTTCCTGTAGTCTGCATTTCTTTCTTTTCTTCTGAAAGGAAGTTTTAGGGTAACTCTGTCTTGGATCCAAAACTTTAATTGAAGAACTGGCTGGCGTCATTTGTAGTTCTGGCTTTTATCTCCTCATTTCTCTTTTTTGTTGATCCTCCCTGTGGAGGAACCAAAATTACATCATAGGCATGTGAACTATAAGCCTTTTAACCTTTCTTTACTTTGCTGTCTTCAGTATTTTACTAGTGAGTATAATTCTACTTATTCTACTTGTTTTGCAAAACATTTTGAAAACTAGATATATAATGAAATTCTAAAAAAAGTTTTGGGATTGTTTGATGTTCAGTTTTAATAGTGCCTTTTATGTGGAAGATTTACAGTAAAAGCTTAGCATCCTATTTAGAGTTCTTTGAGGTTTTTTTCTGTCTCAAATTGTTTCCAAATGGAATTGGCCACAAAAAGAACAAATTAGGATATGCTGATTATAGACCTTTCTGTTTTTAACATCTTTGTATATAAAAAGTTACTGTAATTTTCAGATGCTATTCACCAATAGTTTGCAGCTAAGAGCGAGTGATTAAGAAGTATGTGTGACAGATGCCCCATTTGTAATGCTCCATTACAAGCAATATTGAACTCTACGATAATAAAATACAATTCTGTGATTCTAAGGCATTTTAATTACACACCCGTACATGGAATTATGGTGTTCAGTCTGAAATTTGCCCCTATATACATTAACCAAATTATTTGTATGAATCTTTTAAATGTATTTGTTTTCTTTATTTTGAATTGGCTAGTCCTTTTATTTCTTGTCTCTTTGCTTTAGAACCCACATCTCTTTAGAATGAAAGCTACAGATGGCTTTCTCTTTTTTAATATCGACCACTCTTTCTTTGCCTTGGAAAGAACCCAGAATATAGTGGGTTATAAAAAATAGGTAGCAGGAAATGAAATCAGAATTTATATCAAATTTATGGATATGACTCATAAAGTGTTCTCTCAGTGAGGTGAGATATAGGATGTCCTCTCAATTTCAGATTAGAATCTGGAACGACTGGGTCTACATTTTAAGTTGTGTCTAATAAAATACATTCCTATATTATAGATGTCCCTTAAAGTAATAACACAAATAGAACTAGGTGGTTTATTTTCTAGCAATTAAGTTTAAAATGTTAAATGTTTTGAGAAGTAGCATTAAATTTTGGAGAAGTGGCCTTTTAAAGACATGAAGTTTTAAAATCTGTTGTAGAACAGTAATCATTTGCCTTCCAGAGTATATTTATTTTAAGCATTTCTTGTTCATGTAGACAATGTGCTATTGACTAGTGAACTGATTTAAAATTTATTTTTCAGATGAACCAGAAACTCGAGATGCGTGGTGGGCAGAAATCAGACAAGAAATAAAATCACATGCTAAAGCATTAGGCTGTCACGCTGTAGTGGGCTACAGTGAATCAACTAGCATCTGGTAAATAATAATAACTTGATTTTCTAGATGCTTTAATTTACAGATTGTCTTCTGAAAGGGGAAAAGCTTTATGCAAATATAAAGGAATAGTGGCGTGATCCAGGAGCGTGGGCTTTTAGAGTACATCCCATTGAGGTTCATGTGCCAGTTTTGCCACTGAATTGCTATGAAACTGAGAAAGTTACTCTACTCATCTGAACCTCAACTTTTACATTGAAATAGAGATGATAACCACCTATCATGTAAGGTTATTGTTGATTAAATGAGAATATAATACTGGCATATAGCAAGTATTAACTCTAGGTCTACTTTATTCCAGTTTGCGACTCTGCTGACTTCTTCCCCTTGGATCTTTGGAACCCTTGATCTATTGTAAATGAACTGCCCTATGTCTTTCAAGTGTATCTCTAAACTCTTTCTGCCTTTTCTAACTAATTGTAACTTAACTTTCTCCTGCTAACAAATCATCCTTTCCAACTCTGCCAGGTAATGAAGGGACTTCCATCCTCTTAGTTCTGAAAACCTTTTTTTCCTACCTTTCATTTGAACAACCTCTCCTCCTTTAAAGTCCATGTCATTCCACAGGTCAGACTTTTCTACCTCCAAAACATTCTTCTGCCTTTTTGAAATCCTTCTCTGCCATGCCCTCCGGTTCAACGCGATCAGCTGCCATCTAACAGCCTGGCATTGTACTTTCTTATTTTCAGTCCTCTATCCCCACTTGACTTTCGTCCGTATTTTGGACCTCATTATCACTCGAAACTGTTGCCTCATAAAAATGGAAAACTATAAAATTTCATTCTTGGATCACAACGTAATATTTTCCACCCATACCATTTGCTCATTTACATCTAATGTATTTTTTGACCCTTATCGTAACCAAGAGGTTTTCTAGTTCTTTACTCAGGTTCTGACTTTACTTACTGTCTGCCATCCTTGAACCCTACTCTCAGCGTTTTCAAAAATTTATAATAGATACCATTTAGAAACTGTTTGGCCTTCTACTATTTTATTTTCCCACCATCTATTCTTGGATAATTCTTACTGCCAGCTATTACATGGATAATTCTCTTGCAATTGTGGTGATCATTTTAGAGAAAAGTGGTCAGACTGTAGTAAATGTTGCCATTACAGAGCTATGCTATTTCACCTGAGGACCCTTTCTTTGCCTTTGTAGACCATGTAGTATACTCTTGAACTGTTCCACTCTCGTTCTACTCTCCTTAAACCACAAACTGTATTATGCTTATGCTGCGTTACAACCCAATAGATAGTCTTGCCTCATTCGTGGATTTAGTGTCCATACACTTTCAAGTCCTAGGAATATGGTTTTAAAAGACATAGTTCTTGCCATCAGATTCCCACTCTACTGGAGAATAATGACAAGTATAATACATTTTATGATATGGAGACCCCAGGATGCTTTGGAATCCCAGAGGGTTGGAAGTTAGAAGTAGGATTGGAATAAAGTAACTGAAGCACAAACTGAACTTGGTAACATGAATATGAATTATATAAATGAAGAAAAGATGCATAGGGACAGTGTTCAAGGCTAAAAGAATAGCATGTGGAGAAGGCCTGAGGTGTGGCTAGAGATAGGTCACAGATGCAAGACTTCAGAAATGAGTCCAATTAATTTACTTAGAAGCTTGAATTCATCTGGCACAAACTCCTTTTTTCCCTCTAGATCACACACACACAAAAAAATCTTTGTATTTAAATCCCATCTTTACTGACTTGTTCTGTTCTAACCCACCCTACTTACTGTTGGGTTGCTGGAAAAGTCATGACACATTTTTGCGGCAAAAAACAGAAAAATAATGTTATGACTTTTCCAACAGCCCAATATTACTGGGTTGAACTCCTTAAAATGCAACTCTGCTCTTAGCTGCTTGATTCAGTGCCTTCAGTGACCCCGCGTTATTCCTTCTGCATCCCTAGTGCCCACCTAAGCATTTCAAGCCTGACCTCTTACTCAATTACAAATCAAGTGACCATTTCTTTCACATCCTCTTAGGCTTCTGGTCCATTTGCACTTTGTCTCTAGTGTTTTGTTCCTAGGCTGCTACTTTTCTCATTTGCTTTAGGTGATCTTATTCAATAATTACATTGTTTACTTTTTTGGCTTTCAAATCAGGTGCTATGTAGTAAAGAGTTTCAAAGCATTCTTTTGAATATCAATTTTTGCTATATATATAATGATGTAGTTTAAGCTCCATTGAGTATATTTTGGATATTATCTGTTTCCTTTTTTATTACTTGATACCTTTTTTATTATTAAGTTTACATTAAGTTATAGCAATATATATATATATATTTATGTAGTGTTTTTAGGATAATTTAGATAAAATTTAATATGCATTTAAAGAATATTTTAATACAGTTTAATGAATTATTGCTGGTTTCAACAATAAAGTTTACTACTTTTATTTTGAAGCATTCTACTCTATCAGCTTTATCATATTTCAAAGGAATCTGTTATCATTAATACTATACTTTTTTTTTTTTTAATTGGGGAATTGGGGGGATGGGAACAGTGCTGGGGAATTGGGGGAAGGGGAACAGACAAGTTGCTGTCATTTTTGTTCCTCAGTCTAGTCGTGGAGGACGTCTCTCCCCCTGGCCCAAGTTGGCACCATCATTGCGCTCTTCCTGGGCGAGGCACATCAGTTGCCTGCTTCTGGACGGCCGCTCACTGCGGCTGCCTGCCGCTCACCCTGGCTGCTGGCTACACACGGTAGCCCATGGCAACCCACTGCCACAGGGGCTGAAGCCCATGCCGTCACTGACCACTCACAGCAGCCCAGCTCCAGGTCGAGCTGCTGTTCAGCATCTTAGCTGTGGAGGGCAGTGTTCACTGGCCCTCATATGTGGGATCCGAACCAGGGCCCTCTGGCATCCCAAGCCAGCTCTCAACCATCACGCCACTCGGCCGGCCCAATACTATACTTTTAACTTTTACAAATTTTAAGTTGTGAAGAATTCTTGCCCTCTCCATTTTAATAACATTATATTACTTCTGTTTTCTCTCCTAGGTTTAGGAGATAGCCCTGTGATATTGTTAATATTTAGTAAAGCCTAACCTGAATTTAAATTGTAATCCTTGTAATCACTTTGATATTTGACAGTTTCCAAACTTAGAGTGCCTGAAAATGTTAACTTGTTTGTTTATTTTTTTCTCTTATAGTGAAGAGGTCTGTATTTTATCTGCATCCGGCACGGCAGCTGTCCTGAACCCTAGATTTCTGCAGGATGGCACTGTGGAGGGCTCTTTGGAACAGAGGTTGTCATGGCAGCCTGGCTTATTTTCCATAAGGGCTGAGAAGGGAGAGAGGTTGACTTTTTTTTCTCTCAGAGCTGGGATAGTTCTTCTGTATGAGGGTGGGTTACAGTGCTACAGTATAGAAATCAGGACCAGGCACTTAGTACTGAGCTTTATGTAACTCAGCAACAGAGAAATATTGGGATCTGCACTACATGACACATGTTATAATTGACATACTTGATAACATGTATGACTACCAACTGAAGAATTTTAAGAATACATTTTTTTGTTACATTATAGAAATAATTTCTTTGATTTTTCTCTTTCCTTTCCCTTTGTCTTACCTCCAAAACAGAAAAAAGTCATGAAACAATTTTCATAAAGAAAATTCTTCATTTATAAAACAACCAAAACACTATATTGTACCCAATTTACATAAAGCCTTCATGGAAAGTGAAGTATAACTTTAATATATGTAAAAGTGAAAGTGAAACTGAAAGCATTAGGTAAAATGAGATACGTTTTGGTTTATTTGATTTTTGGTCCCTTTTTAATCTTTAGCTTCCAAAAATTTCAAAAATGCTTTCATAAACAGATGAAATTATCAAATACATATATGCAGAAAGCTATTAGTTTGGTTCTAGAATCTACTTGGATAATATAAATTTTAATTCTCCCTTACCCCACAGTATGCGTATTTGTTTAAAAAAAATTTTAGTATTAATATATTAGTATATATTAAGGAAGAAAGCAAAAAAAAATCTGTATGTATCAAATTTAGTACAAATTTTCAAGACTCTCTATAACAGAAAGATATTTTCACTCTGGTAGGCACCCAGAATACCTTGCCTTTTTGATATAATATAGTGTCTTTTGTCAATATTAAAAATATATTTTGACTATACTCCAGAACATCATAAGTCATCGTAAGTAGGAAAATGCAGGTGGGACATTTGAAGTAGAGTAAACAATTGGAATATTCTACTGAGAACACTGACTTTGCCAGTGAGTTCTCCCTGTACTACAGTATAGTTCTCACACGTCAGTAGATTTCATTCTTGTGGATAGAAGCCTAACTTAACAAATGACCATTTCCATGCAGCTGGGTTATTTCAGTATTGTGGTTTGGATGGGTACAGTGAATTCTCCTGTATGGCAGTCCAATGCAACAGATATCATCCCTATTCGTAAAATATGAAAATGTCTTTTTTTTCCGCTGTAGAATTTTTACTGCTTACTAGAGTTACTTAGTACTTAGTGTGACTAAGCAAGTTACTTAGTATCTCAGGTTGGTTTCAGGCCAAGTGGAACTAAGTTTTTTTTGTCTGCTGAGCATTATGTTGGGGAGGGTGGTGATTACCTACAGTTTTCTTACTTAATCTTCAAAAAATATAAAAATAAAAAGAACCTTTCTAGGTGATTATTGTTATTCCCATTTTATAGAGGAGGCTCTGAGGGGTTAAATAACTTGTTCAGGGTCACACAGCTTCACTTAGATCTGCCTGATTTCCCTGCTACTTCTAATATACCAGAATGCTACCTCAACAATAATGGTATGTAGGAGTAAATTAAATTGACGTAGAGGGTTATTGTGAAAATTCAGCGAGATAATGTATACGAAGAATCTGCAGAAAGCCTGACTCCTAGTAGGTATATTACGAGTTTCCTTTCCTTTCTAAAATGTGTCTACTTGCCCAGTTTCAACTCCTAAAAGGTTGCTTTGGGTGAGAGAGAATTGAGAACCCACCTCTTTCCAGAGCCTGAGAAGATGTGGCAAAAGCTTGGAGTTCTTCTTGTTTCCATATCGACTCTCTCGATTTCCTCAGATTTAATGAGTGAAAAAAATACTTAATAGTTCTAAAATGAATTCATAAACAACATATTACAACAAACATTTTACAATGAAGTTTGTGGATTGTTCTTTTGAGGTTTATCTATGATATGAATGTTTTTATGAAACAGATTTTTTGGTTTCAGAAATGTAAAAATAGTTATTGGAAATTAGAAATTTTAGAGTTTTCCTATTTTTGACTTAATTTTCCTCTTCTTAAATAGATTTGTTTTTAACCATAAGTTTATATTCAAATTATCTGGTTAAGAAATGTTTTTTCTTAGAAAACATTTTAAATTATATTTGTGTTATATTTGCCAGACAGTAAGAAAATGTCACCCTTATTGTCTAACCATTTGTTTTAATGTTGTATCCCAAAGAAAAACACTTCGAAATAATAGTGGTTTTTGTCAGGTGGGAGGAGGTATCACACATACAAATTCATGCAAAATGACTTTCTACTTGTGTAAGCTTTTTCTCTCCTAGAAAAGTGTGTGATTCTCATTTCATGGTCATTTGTAATTCTTAGCAGTCATAGTGGTACTCTTACAACCTACTGTGGTAGAAGTTGTAGTGTAGTTTGTACACAAGTGTTATGTATATAATACATGTTTTTGAAAACAATGTTCAAGAATGCCTTATGTTTTTCTTAATTATTCATATAGACTAGAAGAAACTGTGCCTGCAGGCTGTGGATTTTGCCATATACCATATGATGAACTGAATATGCCATTTCCAGCCCATCTCACATACTGCTATAACTGCAGGAAACAAAAAGTTCCTGATGTTCTGTTTACGACTATAGACCTCCCAACAGATGCAGCAGTTATTGGAAAAGGCTGTCTAATTCAAGCAAGGTATGTTTGTGAAAACAATATTTTGGGTCCTTGAAAGAGCATGTGCTATATTTTGGATACTTTAGCTGTCTTTCAATTCTTTAATTTTCTCTTCAGCTGTCTCTAATATACTAATAAGTCTAATAATTGCAGTTTAAAATTTTTGATAATCTATTTTTTATTTCTAGAAGTTTTATTTTGTTTTCTCCAAATCTAATATCACATGTTATAATCTGATTGATTCTGTAACTAGTAATTTTAATATATGAAATCTCTTTTCTGTTGTTTCTCCTGGTTATTGTTCATCGTGTTTTGTTTTCTTTGATTGTGATAGACTCATAGGCAGTTACAGTAGTTGTACAGAGTCTTGTGTACCCTTCACCCACCTTCCCTCAATGGTGACATCTTATACAGCTGTTGTAGAGTATCAACTAGAAATTGACATTGATATAATACTGTTAACTATACTACAGACCTTATTCAGCCTTTGCAATTTTTTCCCACATATAGATTTGTGTAACCATCGCCATAGTCACGACACAGAACTGTTCCACCCCACAAAAGAACTTCCTTGTGCTATCTCCTTATGTTTATACCCCACACTGCCCCTTGCCTTGGTCCTGTGATGCTTTTTGGAAGATTTTTAAAAATATGTAACTTATCCAGTTTTTTGTTTTTTTTTTTAGGTAGGAGGGGGTTGGTCTCCATCAGCAGTTTTCAGAGTGTTCTCCCAGACCAATAAATGGCATCACCATCCTAGGGGGAATTTATAGAAATGCAAATTCTCAAGTCTCAGAACTATTGAATCAGAAACTGGGGATGGGGCCCAGTAATTGTTTCTTAACTAGCCCACCAGGTGATTATGTGGTTATAATGCAAGCTAAAGTTTGAGAACTACTAGCCTAAATAGTCTGGCTTGAAAGTTTTGGGATCTTTTCTTTTTTCTTTTTTTTTAGCTGAGCCATCCTGCCATCTGTTGGCAGCTCAGCAGCTGCTCAGCTCGGGCCGGGAATTGAACTGCTGTTGCTCAGAGCTCAAACTCTTGAGCGAGCTCTTAACCAACTGAGCCACTTGGCTGGCCCTTGGGATCTTTTCTTCATCTTCACTGCTACCTTTTTAGATATTCTCATTTCCTTTCACTGAAATAGCCTCTTGTCTACCATCCCTGCATCAGTTCTGTCATCTTTACCCTATTCTTTGTGTAGCCATATAAATGATGTCCTAAAATATAAATTGAATCACGTTATTACTTGAAACCTATGTGGGGTTTCCCATTGCTGACAGAGTAAAATCAAGCTCCGTACCATGATTCATAAGCCTCTAGTATGATCACGCCCCTGCTTAACAGAACCCTCATCCGCCCACCCTGCTCACTTCACTTTAGCTACCGCAGTCTCCTTTGGATTCTTCTTATATGCCAGCTCCAGTCCATAGCTGTCTTTCTTTACCTCCCTCAGTTCCATCATGTCTTTAAGACCCCAACTCAGGTTTCATCCCTTCTCTGAGGCCTTTTCTCTAGTTATTCCCACTCACTTCACCTGCTTTATTTGCTTCAGACACTTGGTTCTTAAACATAATCTGAGACTGCCTTGTTTCTTTGTTTATTCCCGCCCACCACCCCTCCACTGGACTATAACCATGAGAACAGGGACTTTGTGTTTTTTACACTAATTAATGCTCACCACCTAGAACAGTGCTTTGGCACATGGTAGATACTCAAGTAAGTTTTATATGCTTTTAATATGTAAATTAACCTTTTTCCTCTGCTATACATCCATCATAAGATCACATGGAGTTATGAAACCTAAGATTTTAAGTTATATTCTCTAGTGATTTTGATCAGTATTTCATTTCTAAAGATTTCGAGATTTTTAATTTTTGTTTATTGAAATAGGATTTTCAGCAAAAGACCATACAGGGAAAAAAATGACAGAAAAGATTAATATAACTTAGTAAGCCCATTTGGAACAAATAAATGTTTTATCAAGCATACTCTTAGAAGGTTTTAAAAATTGAATATTTCTTAAGATGGTATCAAGAATACTGTCCACTGACTTAAGTTATTTGTTAAACAGATTATGTCGCTTAAAAAAGAAAGCACAGGCAGAAGCAAATGCTACAGCTATCAGTAATCTACTGCCATTTATGGAATATGAAGTGCATACTCAGCTAATGAATAAGCTGAAACTCAAAGGAATGAACGCTTTATTTGGATTGAGAATTCAGATCACAGTGGGTGAAAATATGTTGATGGGCTTAGCGGTAAGTTTACTTGTTTTTGTTTTGTGATTAGTTGTAGTAGATTCTGTTTTATGTGATTCAAAGAATATTTTAAAAAGACTTATTTAAAGAAACTGGCATCAAGACCTTTAAGGTTTGGAGACACTATGAGTAACAAATAGGGTGATAGCCTTTCAAATATTTTATTTTTATCTTTAATTATAAAATAATTATTTTAAATTAAATCAATAAATTATCATATAAAATATTTATTTATATTTATGCTATTATATTTTTATATTCTGACCATAACCCCAGTAGTCAGATTTCTAAAAATTATCATATGTAGCATGTTTAGTAAGTTGGCCACCATTGTTCTGGATTTCGTTGTTGTTTATACATTGCTAAAACAGGGTTTCTGCTTGGAACTGTTGACATTTGGTTGTAGTGGGTTGTCTTGTTTGTTGTAGAATGTTTAGCAGTGTCTCTGGCCTCTGCCCACTGGATGCTAATAGCTTCCCTCCATTATGACAACCAAAAATGTCTCCAGACATTACTAGATGTCCTTTGGGGGGCAAAATCACTCCAGGGATGGGGGAAGACCATTGTACTAAAATTATTTTTAGTTTTAATGGTGAAAATGAAGCAATACATGTGAGACACAGCTTATTGTTAATTAAACTTCATCATAAATGTGCACCTGTGGTCAGTAGACAGTAGAATGTGCAATAAAATATGTGTGTTTCTTGAGTGTGGATAAGTTGTGAGTCGGTAGAAAGCTCTTTGTCGTAGCTTCATGTTTACCTTTCCTTGTTAGAAAACAAGTTCTGACTAGAAAGTTGTCAAGGAGGTAAGTGAGAGCTGCCTTTATAAATAGCCTGAGACCCAGAGAACTAGATGCCTGATCTATCTATCTATCTATCTATCTATCTATCTATCTATCTATCTATCTATCAGTTAGAATCTGATCAACAATATTTATGGACATCCTCTCATATCGTACCTAGATGCATAGCTAGCCAGAATTTTTGTCTATATTACTGGTACTTTTTAAATTGGAATTTTCTGCTTTCTTTCTGAGACATGCATAGAAATTTAATTTAAAACATTTATGGAACTTGGATTCTTTTTCTAAATATGGATTTGTCGATAAAATGCTAAATTGTTTTAATCTTTTTTCCTATAACAGCAAATATGGAAATTTTTGTATGTAGGGGATAAAAATTGTATGATGATGATTAATTATGTAATCACAAGTTTTAACAAGAAGAATTTATAATGATTAGTCAAAGTAATCTAATTTACATTTCAATATTTGATATTTAGATTAACTTGGAGTAGAAAGTATTCATTATAATTCATTTATCTAAAAACTCACATGCTTAGTGGGGACATGACATAAATGTGTAAATTGGGCTGAACACAAAATAGTTATTAGTGAGTGACTATGGGAACTAAGAGCTTGATTCATTTTCAGAGGTTTGGGAAACATTGTGCCAACTGTATCAAGCACGTCTGATGGTTGACCCTCAGGAAACTATTTTGTGACCCTGGTATAATTCTTCATTGTCTGCCTTAAATACCGCCTTTTCTGGTTCCGACTAGTCTTTCCCCTCTTGATCTTAGTGACACTAATTACAGCTGTTTGAGAATTTGATCTTTGTTCTGTGTTTTAGCTTGTGCACTTAAATATCCAGGTACTAAGAGTAGCTTCCAAGATAGTTAATCTCTCATGAGAGCTACTGGGTGTCTGGCACTGTGCTTTTCCAGAAGGAATGTAGTAGTATTTTCACAAGAGGAGAACATGCATGCTGTGATAGATTGAGACTTATCCAAAGTGATATGGTTACATGTTCTGGACTTGGGTTTCAAACCCAGGCCTGTTGAGTTTCAGAGTCTGTGTCCTCAACCATGCTGGGCTGTTGCTTCGTTAGTGAATGCAGTTTAGAAAGTGTTAGAGATGGTGTGCACTAAGGCTCATAGAGCACCGAGGGCCTGCTGAGGTTGGCAGCAGAGACTGGCCACAGGTGCAGTCCTGGACTCTAATGAACAAACACAAGAGAGAGCTTCTGAGGATCAGTTTCATCTACTGCGCAGACTTCATCATGGAGTATCATATACTTTTTAGGATGGACTTTTATAAAACTGATGATTGATTAATTTAAAAATAATAGTAATAATTCAAAATACACAGATATCTGAAGTTAAAAAAATTGTCATCGCTTTTCCCCATTCCACCCCTTTGATGTTAACAATTTAGTATTTATACTTATATGTATTTTTTTGCTTTGCTTATGTAAGCATGTTTAGACATAAATGCCCATAGTGTGTGAGTGTGTATATGTGTTGTGTTGTATTTCCCCAAATAGTTTTTCCAGTCCTAATGGCATGTAGTACTGTTACAGAGTCAGAAAATAATAGTCATTTAATTAAATATTTAAAATAAATCTGTATCAAGTAAAGTTCATAATTATGGAGGTTGGGTGGTATAGTGAAAAGTTCTCAGGATTTGGAGTTAGAAACAGATTCAAATCTCTTCTCCACATTTATTGACAATGTGATCTTGAGTCAGTTCCCTATCCCTTTCTGCACTTCACTTTTCCTCACTTGCTTTGCAAAAGTTTCCCTTTCACTTTTGCCACGTAAAAGGTAAATTCCCTACTCATTCATGAAAAATGTACTTTTAACAGCTTTTTGTCTCTATTTTCTAAATTGTTTTCAATGCAATTTATTTTTACAATCATAGGTAAAATATTTATAGTACAGTTAGATATGCAGTAAAAAGTGAATTCTCTTTCACTGCTGTCTCCCATCTACCCAGAGTTCTCACCAGAAGCAACCAACCCCTGATACCAGTTGTTTTTCTGTGCCCTTCCACATATGTCCTGTGCATACACTGATGCTAATTATCTTTTTCCTAGGGCAAATATCACATTCCTAAATATGAAAACTTAAGGATTGTTATTCTTTTGGTATCTTTTTATTATTTCCTCATTATTTTTACAAGTCGGCCACAGGTGTCTATTTAGCAGCATTACCAACTCCTGGTGGGATTCAGATTGCTGGGAAGACTCCTAACGATGGCTCATATGAACAGCATATATCTCACATGCAAAAGAAGATAAATGACACGATTGCTAAGAATAAAGAGTTATATGAAATCAATCCTCCGGTAAGTAAAATAAGTCTATATTGTGAATACGTAAGTTAGCGTTTAGATGTTAGTGTATTTTTAGGTTATCTTATTTTGAACATAAAGGATTTTTTGTTTTTCACTGTTTAGATTCACTCTCCTCATTACTCTTTTATGTCTATGCTCAAATGCCTCCTTTTTAGGGAGGCTGACTCTGACCACCTTATTTAAAATTGCAACTCTCCCGTCAATTTTTGGTATTTCCTATCCCCTTTTCTGTCTATTGCTTATTACTCTCAGTGGAATGAGGCTCCATTAGGGCTGTATTCCTAATGCTTAGGACAGTTCTTCCTGGTGTTCTTGATAAATACTTGCTGAATGACTTAAAATGTTCTTTTTTAATAAAAAGAAAGATTCCTCATTTATGATAAAAATATGAAAGAGTAGGGTTTTTCAGTTTCAGCTCCTTCCTTACAATATTCCTACGAGTCATTTCCATGGTCAGTCCTCTCACCATCTTTGCAGTAGAGATCACAGTGCCTCCTCCTCTATAGATGCCTGTAACCATTGTCTGAATTGCAAGAAAGTTGTGTTGGAGTTAGAATGAAACTGTTTGTTTTTATGAGCCTCTGATAATGAAACACTTATGTAAAAGGAAAGTGTTTGGATAACATTATTGTTGTTTTTATTATTTTATTTTATATATTCTATTGAATTTCAGTTGGTCTTCCGAAATAGTACATCTGAATTCTAGCTTCAAACATGTAGCTTTCTAGCAAACTGGTTAGGCCGGGAGGAATTTTAAGGGTATGACCGAGAGCTACATAGTTCACTGGCCACATGTGGCTGTTGAGCACTTGATGTGTGGCTAGCCTGAACTGAGATATGCTGTAGGTGATTTTTGAAGGCTTAGTAAAGGAAAAAGAACGTACACTATATTATGAATATTTTTATATTGATTACGTGTTTCATTGTTTCTTTTTTTTTATGATCTATGAGGCTTGCTTTTTATTTCTATTAAACAGTGTTGATATAGAGCTTCTTTAAATTCATTAAAAATGTTGATGTGTTAATATACTTACTTAAATGACCTTTGTAAAAGCTTTCCTCACAACACTTTTTGTAGTAATTATTTTTCTTTTATAATTCTTTTTTTATTGTGAAATAAACATTTTTTAAAAATTAGTTTCAGCTGTACAACATAGTGCAATAGTCATACTTTTTACCCCGCACAGTGACAATCTGCCGCCCCACTCCCCCCGCCCCCAATATTATACATATCTATTACAATTCCCTTAACTCCACTCCCACACTATACTCCACGTCTCGTGGATATATACATTCAATTATAGCTGACATACGATATTATACAACATCAGCTTCAGGTGTACAGTGCAGTGATCAAGCCTCTACCCCATCCATGAAGTGGTCTCCCTAACAAGACATGTGATCATCTGACATCCTACAAAATATTTACATTATTACTCCACTATAAAGAAGAATGAAATTGTACCATTTGCAATGATATGGATGGACCTAGAGACTATTAGGTGAAATAAGTCGGTCAGAGAAAGACAAATACCATATGATCTCTCTTTTATGATTCTGTTTTGATATTTGAGCATCTAATAGTGTTTATGCCTGTTGGGGAGAATGAGTTTCAGAGCTATATGTTAAGGTTCCATTTATCAGTTCTAATGATATGAGCTGAACTCTTTTGCGTAACCGTGTTTATCAGCTCTGTCCTTCCACCCTGACCTCCCACAGGACCTGCCACCTCCAGTGTGTGCCTGTTATCCCTGTGTGTGCTTCTGTCATAGTGCCTTCTACATATTATTATTGTGCTTCGTTTTTGCATGTCTGTCGTCGTTTACTGTAATGTGAGACAGACATATTCAGAGAATGTGAATTAAGTTACTTCACCCATTCAATAAATGTTTTTTGACCTACTACTATTTTAGTATCACCGTGTTAAGGAGGGAACAAATCTTTTATGAATTGAAAATTTTCAGCATATATGGATTTCATGTGTTAAATATGATTGTATGTCTACAAAAGTACTAATCAATTTATGAATCTTCTATTTCTTTTCTTATTTCAGATACTGATTACATTACAGTCTGTTAGCATACCATCTCAGAATTTCTTTGGCAAGGTCAGGGTACCAGGCCACTACTCATAGTACAGTTTTGTTTTCGATTTTCCAAAATAATGTATGCCCACTCTGAAAAATGTGGATCAGAGCGTTCCTTCTCATAGGAAGGTAGCCCTGGGTGAAGTGAATGCTTCTCAGTACACTGAGAAATGTTTCCAATGCAAAGGTGCAGCACCACTTAACGAGATAATTCAGCCAACCAGAGGTACCACAATAAGGCGCAAAATTTTTATTTGAAGTAATAGCACCAGTGGTGAAATTTCATTATGAATCTAAGATACTTTAGATTCCAGGTAGTTACATTTATTAGGTCCATGATGCAGTGAACAGAGGCATAACCAAATTTTAAGCTACTATAAAATTATAAAAAGAAGGATGGTTTCTGTTGGGAAGAACACTTTACTCAGAGCCAAAAGCACGATTTAGACAGGCTCTTCACGTACCAGTTTTCAAACCCAGGCAAACTACTTTACCTCTGAATTGCAGCTCTTTCTCATTTTGTAGTCGTTTAATAGGCATCCTGTCAAATTTATATAGGGCATTCTAATTTGGAGTGCAAACATGATAAATGGATGTGAACATACTCCATAGATAGCAATGTTATGAAACTGTGGTGGTAGTCTTATGTAAGGTATGCACTATGTTTTTAAAAAACTTTTTCTTATAACTTCCTTGCTTTTTAAAAAGATAGGCCTGTTGCACCAACAGTAGGCTATGCCTTTTGCATTTGTGCTCCCATATCCACATTCCCTATATTCCTTGTTGCCAGCAAATATTTAAAACCTCTAGTTACCCCTGATCTTTGGCTATGTAATAGCCAATCCATGTAGAATTGCACCATATGCTGACCTCAAAAAAATGATTATTGTCACTATCAAAGTTTATTTAGCTAACTAAGTTGTAGAGCAAATACATGTGTACTATATGTATTATGTGTACGTGCACATACATACACACATACATTTATGGTATTCCTCATTTTACTATGTGGAGCTTTGAAAACTTACCACTTAATAAGAAAAGATATAGAAGAGTAGAATCATATCTGGGGACATAAATCTTTCATTCTTTTTGGGCTATTAGGACTTTTAAATGCTGAGTAGTAGAAAATAGCTTTTGAACTGGAAGGACTGCCAATGCCCTACTCATCGTAGTTTCCTCCCTGTACAGTAGACATCAGTCATGCCTTGCTATGTCTGTGAAAGTGTCATATATATATATATATATATATATATATATATATATATATATATATGTCATATATATATGTATATATTTATATATATGTTTCTGCATTAGTGTGTCAAGGCTGCTATATCAGTTAAAGGAAATAGCTATATACATACTCTATAAAAGGTTAATTAGTCATAAAGTTTATAATTAAATATAGACGTTGAATATATTTTATAGACTCTTCCCTCCCACAGGTAATTGTCTATTAGCATAAAAATTTAAAACCAGACTGAATTATGCACATATCAAATCATTATGTTGTACACCTAAAACTAATATAATGTTAAATGTCAATTATACCTCAATTTTTAAAAAAATTTAAAAAAGACTGCTGTATAGAAAAAAAAACAAACCAAAAAACCTGAAAAATACAGTCATATAATATAAAGCAGTTATATTTCTTTTAGGAGATATCTGAAGAAATTATAGGATCACCCATCCCAGAACCAAGACAACGCTCAAGACTTTTAAGATCGCAGTCAGAAAGCTCTGATGAAGTTACAGAATTGGACCTTTCACATGGGAAAAAAGATGCTTTTGTTTTGGAGGTATTATTGCACTGGATTAAGTATTTAGAAAATAAGATGTGCATTTTTACAGTCAGATATTAAATTGAAGAGATACTTTTGTATCATTACAACTTTCATAAATATCAAAAAGAAACTTATTATAGAAATTACAACAAATTTGAAAGTATCAGAATTTGGTAATATATTTTTTTCAACACCAGATGACTGATAAAAACAGTCATGGGAAACTTAATGTATGGGTTAAAATAAAATTAAAATAATATTTAACTCTTGGAGATATTTTTGTAAACTTGAATAAGGAATTAAAGTGCTATTCTTTCACTTACTATAATGACCTGCTTTAAGTGTTATAGCATGTTATTCTAATTATAACATTTTACATGTAATAATATAAGCACTGATGAATTCTGAGTGAAGTGTTTTCTTACTGAATTCGGAAGATACAATTGAGCTTTCATTATAGAAACACACTCAGAACAAGCTTTTCTGGAGAATAAATGGCACGAAAGGTTTATGGAGTGACCTCACTCCCAAATCTGCTTCCCCTGCCCTCCCCTGTAGAACAGTTAGCTTTGAAAGACATAGATGATCTTCCTTTGATATTGAAGGAAAGGAAAATAAATGAAGGTACTCAGAAATGTTCTGGTAAGATGTCCGTTGAGAGAAAAAGTCAGATGCCTTGATCTCAGTGAAGCAGGAAGCTGATGGTAGAATTGTATTGGGATGGGATTGGAGGTTTGACGGGTCTAGAACAGTGTCTGTGAATATGATCAGGATGTCAGTCCTGGGAGATACACAAGGCTTCACTGAGGTAAGAGTGTTAATTTGTAGGAAACTCAAACTATGGATTTGTGATCCCTTTTCCCCATATTTTCCTACAGCCTGGTAATGGAAGAAAACAATGGAGATTGGTAAGGAATATGTCAGGTTAAGAAGGTCTGGGATCCAGGGTACTCTTTAGAGCAGTGCTACTCAAAGTAGGCCAGCCATAATTAACTGTAGAGTCAGCACTGTCTGGGAGCTTGTCAGAAATACAAATTCTGGGACCCTTACTTCAGACCCAGTAAATGAAAATTTCAAGGTGGGGCCCAGGAATCTGTTTAACAAATTATCCAGGTGATTCTTAGCATTACCTGAAGTTTGATGTAGGGCATAATTGATACTTCTGATTCTGGGATCCTGGCTAAGTAGAGAACAGAAGTGCTTCAAAGGTGGGCAGAAGACTGAGGGCAAGGTGCAGCTTCAGTAAGAGAAAGGACAAGGAGACAGGTTGTAATTGGAGAATGCTTGAGATCTGGGTGTGCAATGGGGAATAGCATGTTGAGGCATGCCAGGACTGTGGGTAGCGGAAGATGGGAGAGGAAGCTTAGACTGCGTGAGTCAGGACTTTGACTCCTCTATGTACAGATAAATGTTAATATATGAGTATATCCAGTTGGATATGTCCACTCTTCAATATTCATAATGAAATATTGTGATGTAAGACAAATAGTATTTGGACTTACTTCTTTTAGACATGACTTTAAATTTATTCCTATGTATTTGGACTTACTTCTTTTAGACATGGCTTTAAATTTATTCCTATGTAATTGTATTTTAAAGCATTTCTGAATTTAGTCAACATTTTTTAAATTGCTCTTTATTAATTTAAACAAATAGAGATAATGATTGCTTATGGTATCTTTGTAAGTATTTTGAAACATGCCATCACAAAGGCTTGAGAAAAAGCTCATTTTTTAAAAACTCAATATATTTTATAATATAAAATATTTTACTTAGAAGAATTTATAATTATTACTGTGGAGAAATTTATAGATATTAGAAAACTTTTTTCAAGTTTTATGTTTTAACTTAGGGAAAAATGGCCCTCCTTTTTTGACTCTTATGTTTTCTAATTAGTAAATAATAAATTTTTAAAATTTGAAGTTATTATATATTTACTACTTATATAATAGTTTTAATCTTTCTGTTTGCAGATTGATGACACAGATGCTATGGAAGATGTACATTCTCTGCTTACTGATGTTCCTCCTCCTTCAGGTGAACAGAAAAATATTACCTTTGAGATAAGACTGTTTACATATCAGTACTTTAGTTCACAATCATCATGGTACAAACTTTATTTTAAAGGCTCTATCAATGTCACAGGCTTTGTTGCTCCAAGGCTGAAAATATATAGTTTAAAAATATTTATGTTAGAACTTAAGTGAACTGATTTATAATCCTTTTATAATTATATATTTTTTAATATCTGATAATTTATTAAGATGGTCTAAAGTTTTCTGAAGGTATAGACTTTTGGAAAAGCAAGATGAATGGGTCTTACAGTTAGAACTTCATGTAATAATTCAAAACTTATTTTTAACACAAAAATAAATGAAATATTATCATATATTTTAACTATAATTTATTTTGACAGGATTTTATAGTTGCAATACAGAAATTATGCCTGGCATAAATAATTGGACATCTGAAATACAGGTAAACCTTTCATTCTTAATTTTAAGCAAATACAACCTAAGTGATTTTAGCAAGTTTCTTCTTAATATATGTTTTCTTTTTGACTTCCTTATTGCAGTTAAAATGTGACCCTTTTTCATACCACATTGGTTATTATTGTTCATGATTTGGCAGTTTTATTAACTGTTAACAGTATTTAAACTAATAAAATGACATGCTGTTATATCTCCCTATATTTAGATGTTCACATCAGTAAGAGTAATCCGATTAAGCAGCCTTAACCTGACTAATCAGGCTCTTAATAAGAACTTTAATGACCTCTGTGAAAATTTACTCAAGGTAGGAACCTTCTGACTAATTATTTTTTAGTTAAAACTTCTAAGAATCATGAAATTAAAAAAAGAAAAGTGTATATATGCCTGGAACACATAGTTGTGGGCTGAATTATTTTTATTTTCGTATCAATCTTAACACTGCCGTCAGGTAAAATGCTAAAGTTGATCTCTCCATCATAATATACGATACTATAAAAGAAACATATTTTAAGTTATTTCATAGCTTTAAACTTAATAAAAACCTATTGTATATATGTAAGTTTAAAAACTTATATTATTTTTTATGACTTATCGGTAAATATGATGAAGTCTTATTGTCTTTAAATATTAAAAATGTATTCTTAATGTAAGAGTAGACAAAATAGAAACGGATGACCTTCTTTTTCATCTTTTAAACTTTTCATTTGCCATAACATAATACGCATTAAAATATCAATTTTTATAAATGTTTCAATTAAAAGAAGTGATATTACTAATGTTTTCTATCATGTAGAGCCTGTATTTTAAACTACGGTCTATGATCCCCTGCTGCCTTTGCCATGTAAATTTTACAGTATCTCTGCCTGAAGATGAATTAATTCAGGTAATTAAGATTCAGTCTATTATTAAAGAAGACTTTTGTGTTTTTTTTTTAATTTTCAATTACAGTTGACATTCAGTATTATTTTATAGTAGTTTCAGGTGTAAGCATAATGGTTAGACATTTATCTCACATAATTTATGAATTGGTTCCCCTTATTAGTCTAGTCTCAACCTGGCACCATACATAGTTATTACAATAATATTGACTATATTCCCTGAAGATTTCTAGCTTTTATCTAATCTGTTTTGATATTATAAGTTTGCCATAATTAAATAAGTATAAACTGTTTTACTTCAAAATATTTTAAAATATATTAGTACGAATCAGACCACGTATGTTTCATTTTTATGAACTCTGGTTATCTGAAGGTGGAATCTTCTGTGTGCTCCAGCACACGTTCAATAGGATGTGTACTCATGTGGGATTTCTCCAGGCCCCATCTTCAAGACAAGGTTCTTGAGCTCTTCTTGAAATATCTGTGCTTAGTTATACATGTTGGGCTTTGTTCTAGTCTGAATATCTGAGTTAGGGCCGGCCGAGGGGCACAAAGGTTAAGAACTGGCTTGGGACGCCAGAGGGCCCCGGTTCGGATCCCACATGTGAGGGCCAGTGACGCTGCCCTCTAAAAATAAATAAATAAATAAATAATGAATATCTGAGTTGAGGTATAATTCTGTTGAGAACCTTAACTGGGAAAGACAAATTAGCCAATTTGTGTAAGTTGTTCCATAGTACTGAAAAAGATTTATAAGAAACTTATTCTGGCAATGATTATTTTGCTAATTATACTGTTTCTGTGATTCCAGGTTACAGTCACAGCAGTTGCGATAACTTTTGACAAAAATCAGGCTTTACAGACCACAAAAACACATGTTGAAAAGTCGTTGCAAAGAGGTAAACCTGTGATGGATGGGAGTATAGTTCACATTTGTCTACATTATAATTCAGTGATAAAATATAGATGATAGATTAAATAAAAATGACTTGTTTCTTGAAGAGAACCTGTCATTTTTTCTGTTTATCTTTATGAGAATAACTGTGTGGATAAGCATATGGCTGACTTGATACTTCTCACACATGAATAGGTGGTTGGCTGGTATTTACATAGAGAATGCTGCTGTTTTATAGACTTACATTGTAGCATATTAATTCTGCAATAATTTAGAGGCTCCTATTCTAGGATTTCTAAGGAGGTCCTCAAGGCATTTGAGGACCTACTGATATAGTAAGCATCATGTATGTTTCTTAGGAAAGGTCCCATAGTGTTCAACAGATTCTCAGAGTTGTCATTTATCCAGTAAAATTTAGGAAGTACCATTCTTAATATATTCCAAAGAAACCCGAATTATTAGAAACCATTTATGTGTTCTGAAAAAAAGGAGGGAAATAGTAAATAGTATACATTCTAAAGTTTAATGACTTATTGGCTAAATAAAATATTCATGGTTAGGTAATAATAATTGTTATTTAGCACTTTTTATTAATTGCAAGGCAGTGTGCCAAGAGGTTTACAAATCTCACAACAGTCCTGCCGGGGAAGGTAGCACCACATTCAACATCATGCAGACGAAGCGTCCCCATGGGAAAAAACAAGGAGAAAACAACCAGAGTAAATTGGGGGTGTATGTATATGTTATCCCAGTTTCATAATTTAAAAAATATTAGTAATAGGCGATTACTAAATAACTAGTGTCTTTCTTGCCTCTGAAGCCTCTACAGATAATGAAGAACTTCTGCAGTTTCCATTGGAACTCTGTTCGGATTCGCTTCCTTCTCATCCTTTTCCACCAGCGAAAGGTTGGTTAAGTGAGGGCGATGCAAATGTACACCCTGCTTTCTAGTGTCTTTCACTTGCTTCTTCATGGTAGGCAATCTCACTTAATCTTGAGATGAAGATTTATTCTTTATTCCCTCATTGTTTGTTTCCTCATGTTCATAAAGGGAGAAAGTAATGTTCTTATTTTAATTTTAATTTCTCAAGTAATCTCATCGTAAACTTTTAAGGTAATTTTTCATATGATGTTCCATTTTTATATCTCAACTATATTAAACTTTTATTTTTAGAGATTTGGATTTCCCAAAGCAATTACTTACACATGATATATGTATATTATATTTGGTAAATTGTTTTTCCAGCAACAGTCGAACCTTTACAAAAATTTTCATTTTGAAAAAGACAAGAAACTATTTTCTTGAGAAGGTACTGCAGAGGTTTCGGGTGGCAGTTGAATATGTGACAAAGGGATGTGCTTTTTGTCTTTGGGTGCCTTGGCTATAATTGAGGAACATTGTTAGGTACTGACAATATGCTGCCGTTTTTCAAATGCAAAATGATTGTCCCTTAATAGCAGTAAATCTACTCAGATCTATGCAGTCTTTAGAGAAAATTTTCTCTTCTGATTTCCATGCATTTTTATTACAAAGTTTACAGAATTATTGTACCTTATTTCATAGCATTACATGTACAATAAACATAGTTTGTGTTTTTTTTCTAAATTTTTTATTACATTTATTATTTAAAAGCAAATTGGCTTTTCTAATATTTATATTTTATAATACAAGTGAAAGTATTTTATGATTTCTAATTGTCAATTATTTATTTGACACCATAATTAGGCATAATACAGAGTAGTTTTATACTCACATTGGATAGAGTCTTTACTAAGTCAATGCAAGGCCTGACTGTGTAGATAAATAGAGCCTGTCTCATATTTTGAAGATGAAAAGGTAAGCTACTTTCAAATTCTGAGCTTTCTAACATGGTTAACTCTTTCCTTTTTGTCTAAATTAAAATTCTAATTTATAATTCCATAAAGAATTTTTGCATACTTCAACTTCTTTGTAAGAATACAGAAGAAAAATCAAATTCAAAGATAATCTCAGTTCAGATTTATGAATTAAGTATAGTGTCCAGAACAAAAAGTGGAACTGTCAAAATCTCCCTTAACTGAGTAAACAGGATTTTTTTTTTTTTAAATACCTGCTTTATACAGAACTTGTATTTAACACAGGGTTAGCTTCAAACCACTTTAAAGTGTCATTCCATTTATCCTTAACCTGCAATGAGGGGGAAAAAACTAAAATCAAAAACACAATCAACAAAAAAAGATTTGATCAATTGCTAATCTGTAGGAATATGTATTTGTGTACTTAGGGTCCTTGTTAACTCAATTTTACCATATTGTTAATAGCTACTGAATTCTGCAGAAGATTAGATTTAAACTCAAAGTTTGCCTTATCTATATATTACTTACAGCTTCTGTAGTAGCTTTCAAAATGTTTTCAAGGGTAGTTAAAACTAGTGTTTCTTGTGGTCATTAGTATATTTTGTATAAATGATACTTTGTGAACTGAAGAACAAGGTAGAATAAGTCATATCTGTACAGTACCTAAAATATTTGCAATTCATTTTAGGGACAATAGAGAGAGGCCATGAGGTGGAGTGATAAAGCAGTAGACCTGGGATCTGTTCTCAGTTTTGCTACTGATAAAATGTGAGAAGTTGAGTCAGTTAACCTCTTTAAAACTCAGTTCCTCATCTGTGAAATGTGAAAGTACCGGGGGTACCAAAAAAATGCATATAAGTGGACACTTTGGTCAATGTTGCTTGAGCAGTAGTTCGCCGTAATCAGAAGTGTCTGGATGCTGATGGTAACCACTTTGAGCACCTCTTATAATTGCAGAAGTCAAATGTGACTTGTATTCATCTTTTGTTATCGGTATATATTGAGTATTACAATTTTAATACAGTTTTCCTTTCTTAAAATATATACAGTTTTTTTTGGCACCCTCTGTATTAAGGGTGTCTCTAGCCTTTAAATTCTCTGATTCCTTGAGTTTCTATAGTTTATGGTTTTTTAATTATTAACATATTCCTGTTATTAAAGACAAACCAAGATCTAAGTTATGCTTATGGTCACACTGAACTTCTGTTAAGTTAAATTAAAATTTTCCAAATAGCTTATAATCAGTTAAACCAAAAAATTTTAAAACAAAGTTTCTTCAAAGATGCCTCATGGCTTTCCAGAAGGCACAGTGGGAAGGGAACTGAAAACTGGGGAGGGAGAGGGAAAGGACAGGTCTCTGGATCCTCCGTTCTACCTGTGAACTAGAGCAGCTTCAATTCTGTGTGCTTTTACATATCAGTTTTCTATATGTGATTCTGTTTGAAGAAAGGGTTTCAAAAAGTTGGAAAACAACTGAGTCAGAACATTTCACCTTTATCATCATCATCTTCATAATGATCAATATCATCACATCTAATACTAATGTATATAAAACTTTTCATACTAAGTGCTTAACTGTAAAACCTATGTGCTTTTCCTTCAGTATTACATTTCAAAATCATCAGTAAACGCTAAAAAGTTTATCTGTACCATTTTGTAAGTAGTTTTGTAAATTGGTTTTGTAAGTTGTTTATGTTGCATGCTTATTTATTGTCTTTGCTTCCTTAAGTCTTTTCAGGGGGACATAGACTATACCAAGTATATTTGAAAAAGTTATCTTAAAGTATTTCTGAAGATTCGAGGATAGGATGGGTATTAAGAAGGTCTGCAGAATGTTATAATATGAATGTAATAATTGGGCATTGTAACATGAAGAAAGGCTTTGAATAGAGACTGAAATATCTGGAAATTTTGTGGCAATTTAGAGGAAAAATGTGTAGCAATTTAGAGGAAACAGGCGGGAGAGAGAAAGGTAAGAGTTCTAGGAATAAATGCTCAGAAAACTTCTCTACTTATGTGCAACTACAAGAGGCTTAAAGGTCAGCTACTACTACTGAGAAATAAATACATAATTTTAAAGTTTTGTTAATTCATTTAACTAAGTTGATAGAGCTCTTTTTTTAATTCTGAAAACTGGGTTTTAATTTGTTTTTCATGTTCTTATCACAAATGGGATGATTTGTTAAAATTTTTCATTTCCTTTTATGTTGACAGAGTAGTTTCAAGAACTAAGCACAGTATGTTTATTAATACTTCCATCTTTTCACTTGTAGATAAACTTTTTGTGTTATTAAAAAATGAGTGAATATTATGTGAAGAAAAGCTGCTTTAATTATATGTATCCTAATTCTCTGTGTAGAGTAAGCCTGGGCCTGAATTGTCCATCCATGTTCAATTTTTTTCCTTCATCCTTTGTTATATTTGGTTTTGTTTCTCAAGGTAACAAAATATTTTGATGTATGTCTCAGATTTACGGTTGATTTGGTGTTACCTTGCTAGTTATCTTGATTTTTCTGATTTGAAAATATTAAAAAGTGCTGAGCCAAAGTAATTTCTTAAAGGACATTAGGTGAATGTTGTCAAATTTTTTCTTATTGAACACTATGAGGATCATAGATGATGTGGCATCAACATAAATTACTTATTTTCATATGAGGCTGTTATGAGAAAAAAGATGGCTATAGCAGATGTTTTATACCACTTTCATAATGTTTTTAAAATTATTAATATTATACTTTGTATTTTCTCTGAAATGGTTTTAAGTGACTTTAAAAATGATATACACACAAAAAAAGCAAATATAGTAAAAATGGGCAATCTGAGTGAATATAATCTGGGTGAAAAGTAAAAAAAAAATTCAGCAAAATTTTTCTCATGGACTATAGTCAATCTCAAGAGTTTTATATGCATGTAATTTTCATAAAAGGTTAACATTACTTTAGATACATACCTAAAGACCTAAACCTTGAGATATTAGATAACAGATAGATTGTGGAGCTTAAGAACTTACATTAATGACAAAAGTGTGTGAATCATATACCACTATAAATATATCTTAAATACTTTATAAATCTCATCTATAATAAGATAATCATTTTAATTAAAATTCTGAGAGTTTAAGACTTCAAAAAGATTTAATTAAGTCAATTTTAGTTTTTATATACTGTTTGATAGAAGGGTATAAAGAAAAGTTTTTTTATACCCACCTTGTTTCTGCTTTTATTTTGCTTTATGCTGAGATAATTTCCTCATGTTCAGTGGCATAAGCTAGGCTAGCAGGAGTACTGTTTTTATTAAGCAGCTGTTGGACTAATGTGACAAGCATAGGTCAAAATCTGGATTTCAATATAAAAGAAAACAAGTTGGCTTATACCCTTAATGCATTATATTCCATAATTAGGTATACACATCAGAAGTTCTTTTATTTTTATTTTTATTGTAGGCTTATAAGAGTTACTTTTTATTTTTGTTAAACTTCTTAGTTTAACTTTAAATTTAATGACTTGCCTCACATTTTAAACTAGTGATTAGAAATACTCCCAAAACTCCAAAGTTAGTATTTATTTTTTTCCTGCCAACTAATGGTTGTAATTTCTTACAAGTGTATATAATTCTTTATACTAAAATATCTTTATGTATTAACAATTCATTGCATGTCTGTTTTTTCTGTTTTTATGAAGAATAGATTTTTTAGCAACAGTAAAAAACACTTCCGCTCTCCATGTTGTTTATGGCTGCAACAACCCATGAGAGGCTCTGAAAGGGAAGATGCTGAGTGGAAGGAGAATAAGAGGAAAATAGAAACTAAAGCGAGGAAGAGGTGTGAAAAAGTTACCCAAGAAATGGGAAGGAAGGAAGGGAGGAAGGGAGGGATGGTGGAACGGAGGGAGGAAGACAGGGAAATTGATGGAGAAATAGGGTAAGGAATCAGCTTCTTTATGCCAGCTTGAGGACAGTGAAATTCAAAATCAGAGGAAGAGGGAGTAAAAAGCAAAGAAAATAAAATTGGGTTACTGACAAAAAACAGGAATAATTTGGAAGAGAAGATATAAAGGGATGGTAGTGAGAGGAGGAGTGGATACCTAGCAGTGGAGGCAGGAAAATGGAAAAGGTAGATTGAAGAAAAAAGACAAGTGGTTTAGGATGTTGTACACTTTTAGTTGGAAGGGTTTTTTTATTTTTGTTTTTGTTTTTAACTTTTATTAGCATTTATTTGATGCTGATTTATTCCCAGGCCATAAGTTTTTATTCCTTTTGTTTCTTCTGGGAGATCTTTTTCTTATGTGCAGCCTCCTCTTCTGGTTTAGAAACAGTCTGCCCTTTTTCAGTGAGGGTCATCGCACTGAGGCAGGGAGAGCTCATGTACGGGTTAATCTGCCCGTGAGCGCTGTTTAAGTTCTGTGTTGCATCTTGGGAGCTTCATTCACCTGGCTGTGCTCAGTGCAGAGAGTCTGCATCTAAACCTTTAAGTTCAGCATTACTCTGCATTTTGAAGCATGTGCAGCAAAATTTCTGCACGCTTTTTGGGCCACTGACCCTGCATCCAGCCCCACTCTTAGGCCTGGGCAAACCTCCCAGCTCCACCATTGTAACGACAGAATGGCACACACTGCTTCTGTAATGTGACATCCTTTAGATACTTGGTGGCTGTTCGGATATGTGTACCCTTAATGGCCTGGGCAGTTGCACGAGTGTTCTTAAAGTGAACAAGATTTGAACCTCTTGATTTGCATGATATTTTAGGGTTCTCTGGGTCAAGTGAATAGTGAACCATTTTCAGAGGTCACCTCAGGATGCTTACGGAAAGAGTAGTCGGAAACTTGAATGACGCAAATAGGGAAGCTAATTATTTTTGTTCTCTAATGAGGTATTAATGTGTATTATAGTTAATTTTTTTTCCCTTTGGACTAATAGAAATTGAGGCTATTTATATCTTTTTCTATGCCTTAATAATTTTTAACTATAACATGGCAATTTCATTATCAATCTACCAATATTTGAATATCATTATGGACAAAATTTATACTGGATGTTTATATACACCCTTTACCTGACTCAGTTATTAAGCCAGTTATAAGACTTAAGCCAATCAATGCATTATAGAGTGATAGAAATGCCTAGAGGAACATAAACACACATTTTGATCATAACTTAAAACTAAGACTGTTTAAACAGGAAAATACAGCATAAATTTTGAAGACTATAGATTGCCTATTTTTTTTTATTAATTTATTTTTTTATTGGGATTTGGGGGATGGGAACAGCGCTGGGGAATTAGGGGAAGGGGAACAGACAAGTTGCTGTCGTTTTGTTCTTCAGTCTAGTTGTGGAGGACGTTGCTTCACTGGCCCAAGTTGGCACCATCATTGCACTCTTCCCTGGCGAGGCAGATCAGTCGCCGGCTTCTGGACGGCCGCTCACTGCGGCTGCTGGCCGCTCACGCTGGCTGCTGGCCACACACGCTGGCTGCTGGCCACACACGGTAGCCCATGGCAATCCACTGCCACAGGGACTGCAGCCCACGCCGTCGCCGGCGACTCAGGGCAGCCCAGCTCCAGGTTGAGCTGTTTTTCAGCATCTTAGCTGTGGAGGGCAGTGTCACTGGCCCTCATATGTGGGATCCGAACCGGGGTCCTCTGGCATCCCAAGCCAGTTTTTAACCAATGTGCCACTCAGTCGGCCCTAGATTGTCTATATTTTAATCTGCCAGCGAATCATTTCAGAATTTGCAGGAATTTTTTCAGTTTTAATAATTTTTAAGATGACCAGATAAGATTGTCTCAAATATTTTTTATTAGAACAAAGATGATCTGTAAATTCTAGTGATACAAAGTGATTAAGTGGTCAGAAGAGTTAGTGGTCAGTGTAGAACTTTATCATAGCTAATCAATACCTTGTCATTGGCTGTGACAAATTATGTAAGATAATGAAGTCTCAAAGTTTGGAAGCATGGAGCATGTGTAATTAAAGGACGAAGAATCCTTGCCTTATTATTTTCTTTTTGTCATTAATATGCTCACTTTCACTGAACAGCTTTTAACCTAGGTTACTCCCTCTTCCCACACCCGTAGGGCTTGTTAAATATTGCTAGAGTGTATGTACTAAGAGAATAATAAAACCGCATGTTCTGTTTGCCTTGCCAACTTCTAGAGTCATTTATTTGGGAATAACAAGTAAGTTATCACTAGTGCTTTTTAAAAAAGCAAAGTCTTTTTCTTGTCTTCAGCAGGAAAGGAAATTGTGAGAGAAGTGGGCTCCTGTGTGGCTTTTGAGGCTCTCTTTGCAGCTAGAATGGGGAATTAACATAAGAAGTGTTTGTCTCCAGCTCTTCCATATACATATGCAAATGGCCCACAACTGAGCATTAGCTCCTCAACAAAGCCCAAAAGACTTTTAATAAGATTTCTACCCCTGAATATAAAATGTGTGTCTTTTGTTTTAGTATTAGCATAGAGATTGAGTATGTATTTTTTATTTCTTTTTAACCAGAATTACTAATTTGTCAATGAGCCGTAATCAGGAGGAGCAGCGTGACTGAGAACGTGAGGTCATTAGTTATAGGAGGGATTCAAACCAGCCCCAGGTGCTGATGTCCATCTACTGCCGGGACCAGCTCATCTTGGGCCTTTTCTCTGAGAGAAAAGTTAAGATTATAGCAAGCATGTTAAACGACGAACCTGCTTTTATTAAGTGAGATAAAAAACTTCCCTTACCCTTTCCGTTAATGTCTCCAATAAAACTTTGGTTTTTCTTTTTTTTTTTTTTTTCAGATTTTAATTCAGATACATTCATATTTGAGAGAAGGGTATAAACATTTTTCCTGGCTTATATTTTCCCTCTTCCCATCCTTTGTAAAAATGTTTTGGAAAAGTCATAAATGCACATGGTGAAAAATTCAAATCCTACAAAAAAATCATATCGTCCAAAATGAAGCTTCCTTTCCTTTCATTTCCCTTACCAGTAGGCAACTGCTGTTAATAACTTATTATCTGTCTTTGCAAAGATACCCTATTTTTCCTTTTTTTAAAAAATACAAATATTTTACACATTGGTGTACCTTAGTTTTTTTCATTAGATATGTTTTAGAGATGGGAACAGATATTTTGTACATTTAAGCTCTTTTCTTGGGCATTTGCCATTCAATTATATATAGTTGCTACTGGGGAATTCCATATTACACAGATAATATTGACGTATAGAAGATAATTTCATTTTAATAATTTTCACTTTTTTTTAGCTCCCCCCCCCCTTTCCCACATTTAAAAAAATTTCACAGGATTCCTAATGCCAACTATATTTTCTATAATTCTATACTCACCAAGTCTATACTGCACAGGCCATACGAGAGCCCTGGGACCCGCCTGGAGTAGGCCTCTGGGTTTGGTTCTGTGCTGAACTGTGCTGAACCTGGGAATCTGGTAAGCCTCTGAATGTCAGTTCCGTTCTGGTCTTGTTCCTGTAGGTTCCATCTCTTCCTGGGCTGCCAGTGTCCCTCAGGATCCTGAACTGGGAGGACTCTCCTTGTCTAGATCTACAGGCTGAGGACGTGATTTTCAGGGCATGTCCTCGGCATAGTACCCTCACAGGCATTTTGTGCACCCCACCTAGTGACCCCGTTTATTCATCAGCTCTGTAATTTAAGAGCAATGTCAACCACTGTACATTCTCCAGTATTAGCTGTTAGTCACATGACTTAAAAAATGGTATGGTGATATGGGAGAAGCTTCCATTGCACCCAATTACCAGAAACATTATGTACAAATCTTATTTTTGAAAAGTATAACTTTTATTAATTTAAGAATATCACCCAAAGATCAACACCTTAGGCAGAGACACAAACATATAGTTATTTAGTTTATAATTTTTTTTTAAAACAGGCTAACCCAAATAATTCTCAGTGTTTCTTATGAGTTATTGGGTTGTCAAAAAAGTCATGACGTATTTTTTATGTTTTTCATTGCAAAACTACGTCATGACTTTCCCAACAACCCAATATTTCTAACTTGACAACACTATTCCTTCAGTTTTAAAATTCTTTGAAACAAAAATACAAATATGCTAGTGTGGATAGAGCCTGAATGTTAGAAATAGATGATGAAGTGGTTGTTTTTTTAATAATACCGTTTAAATTTGTACAAAACCTTAAGTATCTATAATAAAAATATAAAATACCAGGGAAAACTTTGGGTCTACTTTATGAGGTTACTGGAGGGGGAGTGATTGGGGTTCCTAGTTATTTCTATGGCTAGCTGTCACTTTTTCATTTCACAAAGTTTTGGTACCACCAGAGGGAGCTTCAGAGGGAGTGAAGTCCTTGAATGAAGGAGTCAGTGGTGAGGGGGAGGGTTATGGCTAGTAAAGAGGAAAGAGCTTGTGTTTATCTGTGAGACATCCATCATTGCCTTGTCTGTAATTTTTATCTTACTGGCTCTTCCCCCTACAAATATTTCCCTTCCATATTTCATTTCAGATTTTCTTCCCAATACATTGACCCTTTTCTCTGCTCAGTTTTCTCACATCCTGCTTTCATCCTACTAACATTTGTTATTGTGTTTATATTTTCTCATGTCTATAAAATTTCTGAAACTTTTTCTGTTATAGTAACAAGTAGTCTCCCTTGGCATGGTATTTATGAACGGAGGTAGTTTCCATATATCAGTCGAAATTGCGTTTTAAACCTAAATACTTCTATTTGGTTTGCTTTTTTAATGAAGCCATAAAGATTTCCTCCTATTTGTCTGGCTTATCGAGAATATTTACAAACAGCAAAGAAGAGATACTGGCTTGTACTTAGCATCCAAGCTAATGTTGTTCATATTGTCTTATTAGAACACCTGGAGAGTGCAAGTTCTAACTCATGTATACCAGCTGCACAGAGAGGTGAGTTTGTCTAATTAAGCAAATAGTCACCAAAGGTGTGAAATTCTAGTGTGGTGGTGCATAAACATACGTTGGAGAAATGCACTGGACAGTAGAATAGACACCAAAATGTGGCTTTATTGTAGTTAGAGTATGTCTTAAAAATATTAAACTAGTATTTACAATTTTTAGCATTTTAATAGTTTCCCAGTTTCTAAAAATAAAATTTTAGCTCTCTAACGTTATTTTTTTAGCATAGTAGTAGTAAAAGTTATTCTTTTTAAAAGGAGAACTTGTTAGGCTCACACCTGCCCCCCTACCCTATGTTATCATAGGCTTTATTACCAAAATCATACATGGAAACAGAATATTGACAAAAACAATCCTTTGGCTTTCCTGATACTGATGGTAGAAGGAAGGTATTTTAATAAAAGATAAGTCAACTAGTGATTTTAAAAAATATATATTTTTCAACGTTTGATTCTCATTATTTTTAGTTTTGACTTTTAGGGTAGAAATAGGAAAGACAGTTATTCACAGAGTTTGGATGGCAAATTAAAGCCCTAAAGTACAAACTGCTAAAACATTGTCAAGTAAAAAGAATGGGAAATAAAGTTGGTTAAAACAATATATGGTCCTTTCGCTTGATGTTTCTGTTGAACCCCACTTCGTTTTCCCTAAGAGACCACACAACTACGACATCACCAAAAATGCTCAGCCAGCTAACTGAGAACTTGGTTTTGGACAAATCAGTGTCTAAAGCTTGACTCTTTACTGCCTCTCCTATCTGACTTGATAAGGACCATTCTTTTCCTAAATTACAGTTAAATTACTTCATCGGAAGGAGTGTTATGACGAGTAAGAGACGTCATACATATTTTTTTCTTTGTTTTTCTTTTGTTTTCTGTCTGTGTTTCCAGCAACGTCAGTTGATTACAGTTCCTTTGCAGACAGATGCAGCAGCTGGATAGAGCTCATTAAACTGAAAGCTCAGACCATAAGGCGCGGATCAATTAAGACAAGTAGGCGGCTGTTTCTACCACATTATGATCTGAGAAGCATATTCCTGATTCCCCAGCGGTGAAAGCTAGACCTTTCTACCCAGTAATAATATTGCCAATCAATCATGTATTGGAGTGTGAAAGCTGCAGACTCTAATGGTCATTTAGCAAAAGTTATTGCAGGGCCTTTACATTTGTTAATTTTTAACCAAAGAATTGTGTTTTTAAATTTTTACTTTTTGTAAAGGTATTCTTAAAAGTGTATAAATAGATATTATCTTTTAATGGAAGGAAATTGTCAGCTGTCTTATTGAAGAGACACTCTCCCAGGACCCAAGTACTATGTAGCATATGACATGTGTCAGTTTACTGAGTGTGATATCCAAAAGGATGAAAGAATTTCTGGAGAGAAATAGTTAACTCTTTTTTTTTTTTTTTCAAAGCTTATAAGAGTTTGTTGAGCCAAACTGATGACAGCTGCTGGGAAGCAAAATCCCAACGGATTGAGAAAATGCTCCCTAGTTAACTCTTATCTCACTGCTAGACTCAAGATCAATATATGTTCTTTATTTATACTCCAGGTGTTTTGGTAGATTTTGAGGTAAATGTATTTGAGGGGAAGAATTTATAGTACATTAATAGGGAAGGAACTACGTTTTAGAGGAAAGATCATAGGATATAGAACCAGCCAGATCTGGTTTTGACTCCTAGAAGTGCCATTTTAATAGCTGTCTGACCTTGGGCAAGTTATTTAACTTCTCTGAGGCTTGGTTTCCTAATGTGTAAAATGGGGCCAATAATACCAATGTTGTGGGTTGTTCTAAGGATTAGATATACATATTATATGTCTGGCTTATAATAGTTATTTGATAAGTGGTAGTTATTATTATTTTTGTTATTGTATAAACAATCAGCTTTTAGACAGCCAAGGTCATTTTTTTAAGTTTTTAAAATTATAAGTTTGATCAAAATGGTTTGGAAAAGAAACCTATTGCAACTAGTTAACATAAGGTTTATCTACAAGTTGACAGTGATGAAGTCATCTGAAAAAGATGGAAAAAACTGGGAAATATAACAACTTTCACACTCTCTTTGTAATAATTTGTTCCTACAGCAGATAATTTTTAATTGCTCTGCCGCTTTTCTTTTACTTCACTTTATAACGATCATTGTATGTGTAGCTACACCGCATCAACATTTTCTTTTGCAGGAATGCCATTTTTCTTCCAAAAGAATTCCATTCCAGCATTTCTTCTTATGTTTTTCTTTCTCTCTCTCTTTTTAATTGCATGCACTGCATGATAATTTCTTTTCTTTCATGACATGGCTTAGCCTCACAGACAGCTGAATGTTGTCACCACTTACCCGGAAACCTTTGGGAATACTTGAATTACTAGCATCTGATCTTGATGCTTTCTCTTCTTTCTCCATTTTTAGCTGTGACAGTTGAAAAAGCAAGTCCAATGGGTGAAGGAAATTTCCGGAATCGTTCTCCACCTTGTGCAAATTCTACAGTTGGGGTTGTTAAGATGACTCCTCTTTCTTTCATTCCTGGAGCAAAAATAACTAAATATCTTGGGATAATTAACATGTTTTTCATTCGAGAAACCACTTCTCTACGTGAGGTAATTTTATAGATATTATTTCATTATTTTTGTGAATTTTCTCTGATTGAAGATATTAGTGACAAAAGCAAACAGATTTCAAAATTTGTTTTCATGTGTAACACACATACATAGCTTTTTTTTTCAATAACCTGTCTGAATTGATTCCAGATTAGATTTACCAAATTTCATACAGTAGCTAGTATTATCATAAGAGTTGTGTTGAATTTAAACCCAGTTATTATTAGAATTTCCAGATCTTTATCATATGGTAAATAAAACAAATTTACCCATGTTTGATTATAGGTTTAAAATAGCCCTGTAAGAAAAGCTTAGTTTTCTGAGTAGTTATTTGCCCAAGATATTTAAATAACAGTTTTTAAGGGATTATATTCAGAAATACATAGTAGGGAACTATATTATAGATGTATGTCTGTGGGGATAGTTTATATAATTCTCTCTGGAAAAGAATGAGGCTGTTCATTTCTTTCACTCTTTCCATCAGTGTATGAGAATGCCATTTATTCAAATTATTCTTACACTGCATATTATTAAACTTTAATTTGTATTTTAATTAACAATAGTTAATATTTTACTTAATGTGATCAAAGATAATCAGTTAGACTATTACTGTATATTTCATTACACAGGAATTTAAGCTCAAGAAAAAACTATATTGTCTTATTTATGGAACAAGGCTGCTGAGCAAATTAATATGAATAGAGAAATTTTTTTATGATTGAGGTGTGAAACCCAGTAAACTCTTCAAATTTTACTTTAGCAGCCATTGTATTTTTTCAAAGTGTGTTCATTATAAATGTGACGTAGCTGTGCTTTTTTCCCCCCACTGTTTCAACAACATAGTTTTTATCTTTGTTAGAATAATAGCCCACATACTGCTTTTTAATATCCTGCTCACTATCCTGCACATAGCACAGTGCCCAGCACAGTGTAAATGTAAAACTTTTTTTGTGTGTAAATTACTTCTGACAAATTAATTAGATGTTTCCTTTAAGATAAATTAATTTTTTAGTCATATTCTGATTGTTCTGAGATGGGAAAGAAACTATCTTAATTAAGATAGTCTCAGAAACCTTTAATATAGAATTAAAATAGTTGACGCTTCTAAGTCCATTTAAGTTTGACAAAGAAAGTTGGGTGTGAAAAGCTGGCATATCTTGGTGAATTACCCTTTTCCAATTGCTCTTAATAGCCTATGGGTATTGCACTATTTTGAATCCATAAAATTTTATTTCCTAAGTGCCTTCTCTCTTGCTTAAGCAACCATACCCCAAAATGTTGCTTCACAGTAGATTTTTCCTTCAACAGAGATTTATAATATTAACTGTATGGCATAAATATACCAAATTTATTCATTACTTGTTGAATAATTTGCTTATAGTCATTTAATCTTTTAAAAATTACCCCTCTGTTACTCTGCTGTCAAAATTTCTTTATTTAAAGGACAGGAAGAAAACTAATAAAAGAAAATGAAATGTGGTAAGCTATGATTGTGTTGGAGACAGGCTGAAGCAACTCAATTCCTTAATTACAAAAAGAGATATCTTTACAAAGTTATAAGTAGGGTCCCTTGGCTGTTCAGAAAGAGGTGGCCTACTCACATGTTTTTCTAACAGTACATTCAGTTTCACAGTTAACTTCCAGTTTAAAGTTGGAAATTTCTTCCTAGATTATAAATAATCTTTAGTAGAATTTGTGGAAAACTTAGGTTGAAAAGCATTTTAAGCAATCTGCTAGCCTTCGTTTTCTGTATTGTTTTTTTTTTTCTCCTCAGATATACTTTATCATCATGTAAATTGTTTGTTTTTGAACAATGAAAAAGTTCTTCAAAATACTGGATTTCATTCCCTAGCAATACTTAGTATGGAATACTTAGTATTCACGCCTGTTGAACTAGGTGTTAGCGTATAGTTGGAAACAACACGATGCAGTCGCTGACCTAGTGAATTTACAGTCCAGTGGAACTGGAGCATGGTGGACATTAAACAAATAATTATATAACTAATATATATAACTACTAGTGATAGTAAGTAAAATAAAGAAATACAGCAGAGGCTATCAGAGACTATACTGGGAGAACTTGCTTTTGGTTAGACAGTCCAGGAAGGTATCTCTGAGAGAGTTCCATGTAAGTCAGGACCTAAAGAATTGTATAAAGAGTTAGGCTGGTGGAAAATTGGATGAGGTGCCCTCAGGAACAGCATGTGCAAAAACCCTGAGGCAGGAAAAGTGCTTGAGAAACTGATAAAATGCAAGTGTGACTGGAAAATGGTTCAGAATGGGAAATAGAGATAGCCGGGAGGTTTTGTTGTTTCTATTTACCATCAATGTATTTGAATAATTATGGGAATGATTTGATAGAGGGAGCTGTTGAGGATGGAGGAACAATTTAGATTCTTGCTCTGCCATTTACTTACTGGCTATATAATCAGTCATAGCTAGTCATGGACATATTACAAACTCTTTAAGCTTCAGTTGCATCATCGGTAAAATAGGGAGTAATCCCTATCGTAGACATATGTTTACTGTAGGTTGCTTTGTGCATGCATGCAATAAATGCCTATTATGGAGGACACTAAAATTATCCATTATATCAAGATCATTTAAGATGTTTTAATATATATTCTTTGACATTTTGTATACATTCATGTGTACATGTATAGAGTTTGAATTTTCTGTGCATTATTATGTAGGAAGGAGGGGTCAGTGGTTTTCTCCATGCTTTTATTGCTGAAGTGTTTGCAATGGTGAGAGCTCATGTTGCTGCATTAGGAGGGAATGCTGTTGTCTCCTACATAATGAAGCAGTGTGTCTTCATGGAGAATCCCAATAAGAACCAGGTGAGATGTAGTTAAAGCTCTTTGGCAGGGGATCCTGCGAATTTCCCCCATGGCCTTCACACCTGCCACCCCCCCACNCCCCCGGCTAAAGAGATTTGCTCTTTATAGAGCTTTTTGATTCTCAGTGCTTAGGACATATTCTAATGAATATATTAAAAACCTTGGTCATGCATAGGTCAGATGCCATTTTCAGATCCGAGGTGCTAGTTATCATTCTTAAATATGTCTGGAAGTTTTGCTCCTAATTTACTGCTCTTTTCACCATGTTGGTGAGTCTTTGGAATACAATGATGGCTTACTGAGGAGTTAAAAATGCCCTCTAGTTTGGACTATGATGATATCAGGTTTTATCTGCCATGCTGGTGGAAAGTACATCATGGTTGGGTCGCACTGGTTTGTTTGTTTGTTTTTTAGTGAGTAACGTAATTCTGTTAATGGGGCAAAGGAGTGTTGGTTAGGTTAAATTTTAGAATAAATTTCTTTTTTCAGTTTTGTTAAGATAACTCACTTAAAATTGTTAAAGATCCCTTTAAAAATTAAATAACTGTATTAATGGGTTTTTCAAGTTTCCTGTGAATTGCCATCTTATCTTTCACTTATTTTTCTACTGGGTTGTCTGTCTTTAATGACTTACTTATAAGCCTGTGCTTGTGTAGCAATGCAGTAGTGCCCCTAATGTAGCAGAAAAGTATGAGAGTATTGTTGAATTTGTGACTGAACATGTCCTGTTGTTCTTATAGGCACAGTGTCTTATAAATGTAAGTGGTGACGCAGTGGTTTTCGTTCGTGAATCTGAATTAGAAGTGGTATCAACTCAGCAACCTACTGCCAACTGCCAGTCATCATGTACTGGAGGAGAAGTTACAACCTGAAGTAGATTAGAAAGAAAGAGCTCAACTAAATGAAATTCATCTGTCTCCATTGTTTTGTCATTAATCATCTTACTAGACTTTTTAAAAATTGAACTTGATTTGAGATAATTAAGAAAGATTGATGTATTATGAGTAGATTGATGTGTCTGGAATCCCTTGGAGGCATGAGAATTTTCTCCTTGACAATTTGTTTGCCAAGCCTAGATAGACGGGCCCTGTGGAATCCTGACCCTTCAGAAAGTTAGGATAAATTTCTCAGAGAACTGTAGCAAAGATGGAAGATATTTGTAATTTATGTTGATTTTATGAAAATAGTAATTTACAAAATGAAATGGAGAGATCATCAGGAAACTAGGGTGGCTACCCCGTGTAACTTAGAAAAGGTAAGCAACACATTCACAAGGTTGTTAATGAATAAATAGCCTGATTTGAGGGATGTGTGGAGAAAAGTTTTCAGAAAACTCTGGGTTTCTTAATGTGTTTTATTTTGATGAGGAATTTGATCACAACTGAAAGGGGATGGTGCTTCAGCCATCTTTTAAAAAGAAGTTAAAATTCTGCGGCTTGGACCCATAGTATGTCTTCGGTACTATAAAACAAGACATAATTTATCAATGCCAGTGTCCTTTCATTGAAAGTTTTAATGTTATCTCTAAGGAGGAAGGAAAAATTACCATATAACTTCATAACTGGTCAAATTTCAGTTGGTGCTTACTTTGTCTTTAAGAGGCTTGGCTTCAACAGGGAAGACAAGGTCAGTGAATTTTGTTGAAGTTGTTAAAATATAATTGATCTAGTAGGAACATAAAATTATCTCCTAATAAAAGTATGATGTATTCCTACCAAATAAACAGAATTTTAGTAATATCTTAGGGACTTTTGATGGTGAGTGAGACTGTATTTGGCATAGAATTTGGAAATGTAACTTGAATGTAAATGTGCTGCAAAATGTTGAATGTATACATAGAAACACTTTTTCTGTCCATGCCAAATACCTATTATGAATGAACCTTAAAAAGTACATCCCTCCTTTGCACAATAAAATTTCTTTATAAAACTCATGATTTTGCTCTTTCAGGATAACAGACTGCCCTAAATATTAGAAGTCATTTTCTTGTTATCACAGGTGTCAATATTTTTCTGTATTTTGTTTATAATTTTATTTTTTAAATAAAAAGTTTATAAAAATAAAAGGAATATTCCTAAACCTCTTCTTTGCCCTCTTGATGTAGTACTGCCAGTAGCCTGAAATCAGTTTGCATTTGATCATCTCCGTTCACTCCTTCAGTCAACAAACATCTGTTGTGCATCTATTGTATGCAAAGCCTTATTCTTAGTTGGAGGGGGGAAATATACCTATATAGTAATACCTTGGTTTGCGAGCATAATTCGTCCTGGAAACAAACTACTTGTATTGCAAGACATCACTTGTTTACCAAGTTAAAATGTATTAGAAATGTTTGCTTGTCTTGAGGAACACTTGCAAACCAAGTTACTTACAAGCCAAAGTTTTACTGGATATGTAACTGTGGCACTTTGTGTCTTTGGCAGGTAGGTGTTCATTCAATAACTACGGAATGCCTACTGGACCTCAGGGCATAGTTTTAGGCAGTGAACAAAACACGCCTAAGTTCCTGCTCTTGTGGAGCTTATTTTCATGGGCTACACAAGTAAATAATTTGTAAAATGTGTACTGTAGCACTATAAAAATTGCTAATGTTTGTTGAACACTTACTATGCTATGTGCCAGGTAGTCTAATAAATATATTTTTGTATTAACCCTTTTAAGCTTTACAGAAACTCTATGAGGTACATACTATTGTTAAGCCCTATTTTATAGTTGAGGCAGCTGAGTAGAGTTTTTGTGATTTGCCCAAGGACACAGTAAGAAGTGGAGCAAAGATTCAAGAACAAGCAATCTGGCTCTGATACCTGCATTATTAAGGGAGAAAATGTGTGTAGCCTGGGAGGTAGCTCGGTAGCTTCTCAAAGGAAATAATAATTAAGCTCAGCTTGCAAAGATAGGCAGTTCACTGGAATTGACTATTTGTTCATAGTTTTATTCATCCAACCAACAGCTATTTTGTGATTGCCTGGTATGTTTCAGAGTCCTTTCTAGGCAGGGGAATAATAATATAATGCACTGATTGAGTACCTATTATTTGTAATATCCTGTGCCTATATACATTACTACTAATTTTTAAAACAAAACTAGCTGGGTGGCATTATCTCTGTTTTGGTATGAATAATTATACTCAGCAGAGGCCCAGGCTGCTTTCTAGGAAAGCTGGGGTTTCCTTAACCACGCAGGCTTGCTGCCTGTCTGCTCACGTGAGCTCTTGGCTCATGTGGGCTGCCTTTGAAGCACCATCAGCTCATGCCCAGATTGGCTCCTTCCAGGAAAGCTAATGTTACCCTATGTCCCAAGAGATGCTGCTGTTCCCTATGTGTGGATTCCCTCAGAAATGTGATCATTTTAAACACATGTGCTCTGACTTACTGTTGTGGAAATCCTGAGGCCACTTCCAGTGTTGACAGCATGCCTCATACCATTCATTCTTCATTGCTGCTCCAGAGGTAAACGACACAGTTTCGCCAATACTTTGCTAAACTGACTTCCCCTCCTTCCACCTTACTCTCCCATAGTCCATTACCACCTGGCTTCCATCTCCTGATCTGCCCCTGAGTTTAAGTGTGCCAAGGACACAAGTATTGGATTGCAGTATTGGACAGCTAACAAGCTTTTTTTATGCGTGTACATAATTTTTTTATAAATGAGATCATGCATACAATTTTTAAATAGTTTTATTGTATTACTTTTTTGCCTTTTTCTCCTTTGCCATCCCATCCCTCCCAATCCATGTTAGTAGCCTTGCATATTAAAAATATGCTAATGAGGTATAATTTACATTCAATAAAATTATTGTAAGTGTACAGTTCAAGGAGTTTTGACAAATTCAGTTGTGTAACCAAGATAAAGAACATTTCCATCCACCCCCAGAGAGTTCTCTTATGTCCTTTTGTAGTCAGTCCACTTTCCCTTCCTTCTAAATGGGATCTTGCGCTCTATAACTTTCACTTAGTATAATGTTTTCTAGGTGCATCCACATATGGACAACATTTTTGGCTATTATGAATAAAGCTATTTTTTATTTGAGTTTATACTTTTCTGTGAAAATGTAATTTCTGTTCTATGGGGTTGACTTTTTCTTGTTGATAATCTGCCATGCGTGTGGCACAATTTCCCCTTATTTTGTTGTCCACGTAGTTTATGGTAACTTTTATCATAATCACACTTTTTATTATGGACAATATGACTATCTTTTCTTTCTCAGATACGCTTAATCAAGTTGTCCTTTCCTTGATTTTTTGGCTATTGTGAAGATTCATCGAATTTAACATGCCCTAATTGCTCTCATCTCAGTGGCTCCCCGTCAAATTTGTTACTCTTCATTTCTTATAAATTCTATCACCACTTAGCTAGTTTTAGCTTGAGTCGGATACTCGAGGGAGATCCAAAGCCTGTACTCTTACCACCACATAATCCAGTCTCACAGAACAAGATACATAAAAATGTGGAAGCATGAAAATGTATGCTGTATGAAAGCAAATTTATTTACAAACACTTTTATAGTTTTTTGTTTGTTTGTTTTCCCCTCAGGGCTGGGTCTTTGACAGAGTACTTTGAGAACCTGATCTAAGCTTTGGACCTTTTCCCCAGAAAAGCATACACATGAAATTTTGCACACTACTTCAGGAGGTTTATTGAAACCCCTTCATTGACCCCAGGTTAAATCTAGTATAGGATGAATGGAAGGGAATAAGGAACCAGATCAAAGGAAATGTTAGGAATGATTGGGTAAATGCTATCTTAAAAAACTGTTGGTTCTGGGGCCTCTTGGGAGGGGCTCCAGTGCAGGTTCAGGTAACCTGCTGCCTGTGGCAGGGCAGAAACCATGTCATAGCTACAAAGCGATCTGTGGTTGTTCGCTGCTTGTGCTAAAGTTGGAGGCACATGGGAGAGGCCACGCTATGTACCGAGGACGACTGCCGCCAGTTACAGGCCTGGAGCAGCTCCTCAAAAAGCCAGGACACCCTGAGGCCTGCTGCCACCTCCTTGTTCCCTTAAGGTTCAGCCACTGATAAAGCCTAGCGCGGTGCAGGAGTTGGGTGAGGCAGGATCTCAGGGAACCACACAGTGGGAAGAGTTGTGGTCACCAGGTTAAGGTAGACTGGTTCGGTGCCAGTGCTGAGCCTGGAGCTACTGAGCAAAAGTCTCAAAAGTACACTGAGGCCAGTTGCCACCCACCTGGGGCCCATGGACTTTGAAGTTTTCCAAGAAAGAGTGCAAAGTGGGCGGGGCTGGCTACTGGAGTAGAAAGTATCTCTGACGCTAGGGGAGTTGGGTAGGGCAGGTGAGTCAACAGGATGGAGCAGCAGAGCTCACCAGACCAATCAGATTTAGATTTGGCCTGTGGGGGCGGGCTCAACACAGGAAAGATGGGGACTGCCTGCTGGCTTCATGGGAGAACCCCACACAGGGAAAATGGCGACTGTTCTCCAGCCCTCGCTCCAAAGCCACACTCCTCAGTCTGCCCTCATATGTCTCTGACGCCCCTCCCCCATACCCCCGAATCACCGTCCCTCTGCTGGAGCTCAGCGTGAGTGCCTGCGAGTGAGTGAGTCAGTGCATGGGCCTGTTAAGAGGATGTCTGGGTTTCCTGCAGTCTTCCAACCTAACTGGATGGTTGGAATCCCCACTGTTTTTCACAGCCAGAAGTTGTGGGGGTTCTTCTCCTGGCACTAGTACTCCGGGCTGGGGAGACCAGGGTGGGGCTGGCTTTCCAAGTTCCTTTTAGGGGGAACCTGTGTGGCTGAGATATTCCTCCTGATTCTCAACTGCCACACGGAGGTTTGGGGCCAGCCCTTTTCACGTCTCCACCCCTCCTACCAGTCTTGACATGGCTTTTTCTTTATATCCTTAGTCATAAAACTTCTGTTCAGCCAGACTTCAGATGGTTCTCCAGGTGATTGTTCTATAGTTTAATTGTAATTTTAATGTATTCATGGAAGGAATCATGCACAGTGTTTATCTACTTCACCATCTTGGATCTGTCGACATTTCTAAGATTAGATTTTTAAATGTCAAAAAATCCAGCATAGCTGTGGTAGGCAGAATAATAGAATCCCCAAAATATCCAGAGCTTAATCCCCAGAACCTGTGAATATATTACCTTTCATAACAAAAGGGACTTTGCAGATGTGATCAAAGTTGAAGACCTTGAGATGGGGAAGTTATCTGTGGGTATCTGTGAGAGTTCTAGAATCTAATCACATGAATCCTTTAAAGTGGAAGAGGAGGGTAGAAGTGTAGGTCAGACAGATTCTGTGAGAGCTGGACTTTGCTGGCTTTGAACAAGGAAGACGGGAGCTCCAAGCTGAGGAATGTATGTGGCCTCTAGATGCTAGGTATGGTCCCCAGCTGACAGCCAGCAAGGAAACAGGGTTCTCAGTTCTACAACCACAAGGAACTGAATTTTGCTAGCAACTCAAATGGACCAGGAAATGGACCCTCCCCTCGCGTCTCCAGAAAGGAACAGAGCCCTGCCAACAGCTTCATTTTAGCCTTGTGAGACTTATCAGACCTCTGACCTATGGAGCTATAAGATAATAAACTTGTTTAAGCCATTAAATTTGTGGTAATTTGTTATGGTAACAACAGAAAACTAATACAAATTCTTATAAATTTAAACTCTCTAAATATATAAAGTTACCATATAGTTATGCTATTTATGATAACATACGAAATACTTAACAAATTCAGGGTACAATTTACAGTCATATCTCTTGTTTTTCCAATTAATTTTTTGAATAACCACCTGACTAATTAGCAGAACTCTAGAATCTCCTGCTTTTGAGGTCATTTCCACTTCGAATTGTCCAAGAACTCTAGGAGCTCAATGCAGTCCCCAAAAGGTTAAGTTCAGCTTCCACACCCAAGCTGTTGACGGTACTGTACAGGAACTTCTTTGGTACACTGTTGCATTTGCTTCCCATTGCC